CAGCTGACACCCCCAGGCAGGAAGGGGGGCAGGAGGAGGGCACAGGAGCCTGTGTGGGCTCCCCAGCCCTGGCTAGCTGCTGCCTTCTCCAGGGAGGACCTGGAGCAGGGTCAGACAGCACCACTGGAAGAGCCAGATGAGTAATTCTGGTCTGGGCCTCACTCAGTGCATCACCGCTCCCGGGATTTCTTTGCTGATTTTTTTCTTTTTTTTTATTGAAGCAGACAAAGAGGGTGCTGGAGGCACAATGGCTGTGTGGGCCCTGGCTGACCTGACCTAGTCTGAAATAAAGCACTGAGGCTTCAGTTACTGCTGTCTAGGGATTCTCCCTCCCCCTCTTCATCATCCAGCATTAAACCTTTATTGGTGTGACACAGCACTGCCAGAGCTCACCGCACTGAGCAACTCCAGTTTCCAAAAACCTCCCCAAAAACGCCAGGATCCCAAAATCCCATCTCTTCCCTCTGCTGCCTTGGCTAAGCCATCACCCACTGAAGGCTGGATGCTGGAGACCCCCTCCTGCTCCTCCCTGAGCAACTCCAGTTTCCAAAAACCTCCCCAAAACCACCAGGATCCCAAAATCCCATCTCTTCCCTCTGCTGCCTTGGTTAAGCCATCACCCACTAAAGGCTGGATGCTGGAGACCCCCTCCTGCTCCTCCCTCCTCTCTGGGGTGGGGTTTAATTAACTCTGGGAGGCAGATTTGGGATAAACAGCCCGGCTGTGCCAGCTGCAGCAGGTCCTGGCTCGCCACATTCCTGTGCCCTGCCCCAGCGCCACCCAGCTCAGCTGTGGTGACAGCAGGAGCCACCAGCCAAGCACAGACACCTCACCAGGTGTCCCCCCCATCAGCCAACTGCACCTGCAGCCACCCCAAAGCGATGGCAACCTTTGGCTGGGCCAAGTTTGATGTTATTTTTCTCCTTGGGTTTCATTTTGGGGGAAGTTTCATTCTGTGGCTGTTGAGCACAGCTGGGAAGGAATGCAGAGTTGGATCCTGCTCTCATCTTCCTCACAGGGACAAAGCGTCCCCTGGCACGATACAGCTGAGATTCTTCCTGGAGGAAATGCCCACAGAAGCTGCCTCATCCCTGGAAGAGCTCAAGGGCAGGGTTTGGAGCAAGCTGGGAGAGTGGAAGGCGTCCCTGCCCCTTCTCACCCAAACCATTCCACGATTCCATGACTGGGGAGGCACCAGGATCCTTCACTCCTGAGCACTGTGAGGCAGAGAGCCCAGAAATCCCTTCCAGCTGACCCAGGGCTGAGCTTTAATGCTGTGAATTTCGTAGGTGAAATGTGACAACGTTAAGGGTTTGTCCAAAAACAACACCGTGAACCAAAAAGGGTCCCAGCTCAGAACTGCCAACGCCAAGCACAAGCCACGCTTTGAAACCCAAGTTCAAAATCCACTGTGTAAAAGATAAACAAAAGCCAGGCTTAGGCTTGCTTAGCCAGGAGGCCAAGCTACCCCAGCACAGATGTCTCCCCCCAGAACACCCAAGAATTTGATTCCATCAGCCCTGTGGCCCAGGCTGATGGGTTCTCCTTGGCCAGACAGGACAAGCCCACGCCTGGGGCTTTCTGGCACCTCTGCTCCCAGCCAGCAAAGCTCACCTCTGCTTCTTCAGCGTGTAAAGGAGTCTGAGCCACTTGCACTGAGCAGCACAAGCTCCATCCCATTAGTTTCACCATTTTTGGGGTGAAGAGTTCTCACTTAGGGTTTTCCAGCTGATCAGGGGCTGCTGATGATGGAGACAAAGCAATGCAGAAACCCCCTCTGCCTTCACGTGAGTGACCCCCCTGTCTCCTCTGTACCTGGGGAATCATTTCCCTGGGGAATTCTGCTGTTTGCCAAACTGAATCCACAGAGCTGTTATGTTTAGAAACATCTCAACTGTAGCTCATTTGATTCCAGTCATTAAAATTTAATATTAGCGTAAGCTTTGAGAAACCTGAGCTGACAGCAGAGACAGTAGAGGGGGAAGAAGTGCCCCAGCCTGGAAACTCCTACGAGCAGCTCTTGCTGCTGCCTGGCACTTGTCCCTTGTGCTGAAGAGCCCAGCTTGGCTGTGTGAAGCTCAGCACAAAGGTCCTCCTGACTTTCAGCACCTTTTTACACAACACAGAGGCTCCTCAGAGAGGCAGCAATGGAACCAGAGCCACTTGGGTTAAACTCCTGCTGGAGATCAGGAGTTAAAGATGAGGTTCCTTTGCTCTGACAGCTCTACATGAGCTGAACTCACATTATTTCTTCTGTGGCACAGCTGGATCCGAAGTGATCCATGGGGATGTCCATATAAGCACAGGCTCCAAACCACAGAAATGCCTTTCAGCTGCACTTGATCTCACCAGAAAACTCAGGGCTCAATCTGATGACCCCTTAAAGTCTCCTCCAGATGGGCTTTCTTAACAATCCAGCTACAACCAACCAGTCCCTGCCTGGTTTTCCCACACTCCCAGAGCTCCAGCTCCACCCTGGATCCTTGTCCTGGCTCCTGACGGCCGTGGGAGCTGGTGAGGACCTGTCCCCAAAATCACATTTTGCTGAAGCAAAATCCCCTCCTGCAAACAAAGCTTCCCCCTGAGCATGATCTGACAGCTGCTTCCCAGCCTCCTGCCTCGGAGGAACCCAGCCAGGAGGAAAACTTACAGCAGGAGAGGGCTCATCCATCCCAAAGCCAGGATTAGTCACTCTGTGACCTGGGAAAGGGGCTGGGGGGGATAGAGAGGAAATGCACAAATGGCAGTTTTCCAAAAGTTAAGGAGGTTGTGGCCTTTTGGGGAAAGAAAAGGGAAAAGAAAAATACATGGGAAGCTTCAAATGTGAGCTGCTTCCAAAGCCATCCGTTCCCAGCCTCCACCAGAGCCTTCAATGTTTCTTCTTTATTAAAATCTGGACACAATGAGTCCAGAAGTGCCCACCTTTGTCAGGGCTCTATTGGCAACTTGCCTGGAGCCCCCGGGGCCATGCCTAATTTGCATCTCATTTACACAGATGTTCATTAAAATTAATGCCTTAAGACATAATATCTGCCTGCATTTGAGCCTTCTGGACAGACAGAGCGCGACCGCTCCCAGGGAGCCCCCGTCACCCCATCCCTCACCCCATCCCTCACCCCAGAGCACTGACAGCACGAGCAGCTCCTCTGCTCCACCAGGACACTCCGGGCACGCCCCTGGTTTGCAATCCAAGGAGGGCAAGAGTTGTGATGTTGTCTTAAGAGAGAGAATTTGTTGGGAAATAAAAGGCGCAAGCACGAGGAGCCCCCCGAGCTCCCCACAGGGCACCAGCCAGGCTTTTGCACAGCCAGGCTTTTGCACAGCTCTCCCTCCAGTGCCTGCTGATGCCCTTCCACGTGCAGATCAGGATCTGGGACTGTATCCCCCTCAGGTAGGAGCAGGAGGTGAAGCTTTGCCAAGATCAGCTCTGCAACCTTTAGGATTTGTGCAGAAATCCCCGGGGATGAGCCTTGCACGGGAGGAAAGGAGGAATGAAGGAATGAAGGAATGCTGCTGTAACCACGATTGCTCCATCCTCCAGCCCTGCTTCTCCCCCATTTTCACTCCCAGCCATTACACAGCAAAACCTTCCCACCACTGCTGCCACTTTCACTTTCCCACCCACAAAGGCCCCAAATGCTCCACGTGGCCTTGATGGCCAGGGAATGACTTTTGGTAAGGATACCTCAGAGCCCCAAACCCCCTTGGCTCAGGTCACCCATGCCTTAAGGGGTCATCCTCAAGGTCACTGAGCTGTGCACCCCGTGCAAAGCCCACGGTGGGTTCAGCTGCTCCTGCCCAGCCTGGGTTTTGTCATCGCTCCTAATGAGAGCTGCTCAGCTGGGAATAATCCCATGTTCTGCAGGAAAGGTTCACTGATTTTAAGGACTAAAACCTCTTTTTCGGATGTATTTGTTCCAAGTGACTCTGTGGTGTTTAATGGTGAATTTAAATCCTTTCCACTGATACTAGCTCAAAGCAAACTGCCCAACACAAGCAACACCATCAGGTGAGGTTGAATTTGTCCCATAAATACACTTCAGCTTTTTTTTTTTGTTTTGGATAGGCAAACCCCAAACCAGAAACACCTTGTCCTGGTGAAGGTTCCACAGAGCTGCTCAAGTGGTGGAACGGGATCAATTAGCCATGAGATGAAAAGTAAATGGCTGTAAAACTGCCTCTCCCTCCCACCTCCCCATTAACACCAGGAAACAAGCAGCCAGATGTAAATCAGCCCAATCATCAACTCCTGAGCACATCAGGAATAAAAGTTTCACAGCAAGAGAATTTCTAAGCTGTGTTAATATAATTAATGGAGTGTAGCAGCATGACCCAACATCATAATACTGTATAGAAATATATCAAACACACTCCAACTCTTCCCTCTCTCAGTGCTTCATGCAAGCCTTGATGGCCTCCATCAGCTCCTTGCTGGAAATGTGAACAGCCCCATAAAACTTCACCTTGGTTTTATTTCCTTGTCTCACAGTTTATCTGCGGCTCTTTTTGTACCCAAGGATCCCAAAATGGATGCAATGTGTGACCCAGGTGGAATGAACAACAAACAGAACAGTGGGCCAGGCAGAGCCAGACCTACAGGATGACCTGATGTGGGCTAGACTCTCAAGCAGTGCAAATTCACAGCTCAAGTGGACTCAAATCCCTCCCTTCCTCCCCCAAAATCGAAATGCAACCCACCTCTACCAGCCCACGAGCTGCTGGCACGCCAACATCACACATCACCAGGAGAAAGGGGATTTTCCTGCCAATCCCACGATCTTTCCACACCTTTTCACCACAGACTATCAAGTCCACCAGCAGGATTTCACACCCTCCAGAGCAAGGACGTTTCAGTGCAAACCCACTCAACAAAATCACAGCAACAAAAACCACGGAGACGCCACGGCTTGAAACCCACCAAAAAAAAAAACCCACAACGCCAAAAACCACTTTAAAAAAAAACCCAAAAAAACCCCAAACCATCATGGACTCAAACTTACCTTGAAGTCTGCCAGCTGCTGGTTGATGGTTTCCACCTCTGTCCCCACCACCCACTGCAGGGCCTCGTTCTCCTCGGCCGCTGCGGTCATTTGGCTGAGCTCCTTCAGGCGGCTGTAGAAGTCCTCCACGCGGGACAGCGTGGTCTCCACCTGCTCCTGCCGGTTCCTGCCCCTCTCTGTCAGCTTGCTGCACTGCTTGCTCAGCGTCTCCAGCTCCCTCTTCAGCCCCAGCAGGTCGGGGCTGCCCTCGTCCTCCAGCATTTTCTTGCACTCGCTCTCGGAGGATTCGATGTCGCATTTCAGCCGGTGGAGCTTGCCCAGGAAGGCACGCACGTCCTCGGCCTGGGACTGGAGGCTGTCAGAGTCCCTCCCAATGGGGCCCATGCTGTCCAGCTCATCATCCAGATCTGCCAGCTGGGAGAACATCTCCCTGACCCTGCTGTTGAACTGGCCGATCCCTTCCAGCTTGTTCTCCATGAGAGCGCAGCAATCGTTGATTTTCTGCTTCACGGCCTTGAAGTCCTGCTGAGCCACCTCGGCTTGGCTGAGGAGCTGGGAGCAGTCGGATCCATCTGGAGCATCTTCTACCAGGCCTTGAGTGAGGTTTTTCAGATAATCCACTTGTGGCTCCAGGGCCTGCAGCACCTCCTGCTGTGCCCTGAGCTTCTCCAAATTCTTGTTGCTGCAGGCTTGTGGCCCCAGGGCATCGTAGATCTCCAGCTGGTGCTTTGCCCCTTCCAGCTTCTTCTCGATGTTCTTGAAGCTCTCCTGGAACTCCTTGAGCCTCTGGGACATTTCTTCAATGGAGCCAGTCTTGGTTTGCAGCTCTTCTGTGATGGCATCCATCTTCTGGTTGATGGCAGCCTTCTCATCCCGGATGTCATCCTCGTCCGTCTGGGAGGCGTCAGTCAGGATGTCAGCAGCACTGTTGAGCATCTCCAGCAGGGACCGGCGCTTCTCCACGTCACTCAGCATGGCCTTGGACCTCAGAAGAGTGGCCTCCAGCTGCACTGGATCCAGGGTTACCTCCAGCTCTGCCATCCTCGCCTTGCAGTCCTCCACCCAGGGCAGGAGGTCGTCGGCGTGCCGCTGGTACTTCTGAGCTTTCTGCAAGCAGTCCTTGAGCTTGGAGTGCCTGTCAGCAGCCTGCTTGCTGAGCTCCTCCCAGTGTGTTTTCAGGCTCACCAGCTGGTTCTGCAGAGTGGTCTTCTCCTCCCCAGGCTGGACAGACAGCAGCAAAGATTCTCCCTCGGCCACAATCATCTCGTAGGAGCCGCTGTGTTGGTTGAGGCTCTTCTGGAACTCTTCTTGCTCCTGGATTTGGCTCTGCAGCCTCTCCAGCTTAGCAGAGATCGGTTGGCTCTGGGCTTGCTGGCACCTTTTGTCATCCAGCCAGGTCCTGAGCTCATCAAACATGTGCTGGAACTGCTGGGAGCTGGCGAGCGCAGTCTGCAGCCGGTTCATCCGGTCGGCTGCAACGGCAACGAGATTAGGAGGTGACAATTAAGCTCAAATCAAATAAGCGAAGTGCAATTATTTAAAATCATCTCAGATGCACCAACTGTGTTTTGATTAACAGGAAGGAGCTTTCCATTGCATCACCAGCCTTTTTTTCCCCTAACTGATTCATAAATTTCTTAAGTAGTAAGAGGCAGCGGTAATGCAGAAGTCTCAGCTCTCCTGACCAATCTCTAAATGTGAACTCTGAGAAATCAGGATCAGAGGGTGGCCACTGGGGTTTCTTCATGCCCCAATCTGAATTTAGGAACCTAGTTTTTTTTCCAAGCACATGCTTGGTGAAGTCATGTCAGTAGGGCTAAGCACCTCTGCTCCCTCTCCAGGCTCAGGTATTGCTGGAGTTGGAACTCTCCCATGCTTAGTGCCACATAAAACACCCAAGAAAAACCCTAAAAAGTGATAAATGGTGCTTCCTCTATTATTTTCATAAAGCCAGTGGTGGGAGAGCCCTTTGGCAAAGAGCAGGGGTGCAAGCTTGACATCCTAACATCTCAAGCAACTCCTCCTCTATCTCACCTGCCAGATCTTCCAGGCCTTTGAGGGGAAGTGCCACGGTCTCCAGACGTTTCCTCAACTCATCCTTGAGGTACTGCTCCCCAATCAGGACGGAGAGGTCATCACAGAGGGTCTGAGCCTCTGAGATCTCCTCTTCCAGCTGCTCCAGGTCTGAGCGGATCTCGCTGGTCTCCTCCAGCTGCTGTTTGACAGCATCAGGCTGGGTGCTGATGGCAGACTGGCTGCTCAGGCGCTGCCCAACAGCCTTCACCTTCTCTGAGAGGCCCTGGAGAAGCTCCTGGTACTGGGTGCTCTTTACTATGGCTTGGTCAATCTGGCTGGAGCGGGAGTTGAGGCGCTCGGTGAGCTCGGACCATTTCTGGTTGACCCCTTGGAGCTCATCCTGCACCTGGCTGGTGGATGGGGAAACATCTCCAGGGCCAGTCAGGATGCTCTGAGCTGCCTGGTTGAGCTGCTCGTGCTGCTGTCGGCGAGCTTCGAATTCCTTCAGCATAAACTGCAACAGAAATAACATAAAAATGTTTGCATAAAAGTGACAGCTCCGAGTACACACAGTCAAAACAAACCAGACCTCCAGGGGCTTCATCCAGCCCATGGAATCAGCAGGAACGGGCCCTGGGGTGGGACAGCAGTTGGGCTGGGTAGCCCAGGATTTACTGTGACCTTGGGAGTTAAAAGCTGGGAGGGGTCTGTGACTCCTGGACTTTGCTCTCTCTCTTATTTGTCTTATAATGTAGCATAAACCACTTAGATGAGATGAAAATCTAATTATCTCCACTGGGGCTTTTTTTGCTCCATGATGTGGCTGCTTACAGCCATGTTAGGATTTGGAAGCAGGAGGAATGGAAGGGCCAGGCTGGCAGGCAGAGGGGCACCATTAGCAAGTCCTGCAGAGTGTCAGCACCGGCCTTGTTTAAAGCAATTTCACTCTCCAAGAGGGGCCAAGTGATTCACTGCTGAGTCAATCCAGCGCAGGAAGGGAGCTCAGCACTGCACCCTTTTCAAGTTACTCACAGCAGTTTGGGGTTTGGAGGACTTGGAAGAGGAGCCATGAGGTCTCTGAGCACTCAGAGTGCTCACAGGACCAGCACAACCTTCCAGGTCCCTCCTGGGCCAGACGCTCTCCTCCTTCCTGAGCCCCACCATGAAGGCACAAACCCCCCCCTTACCTGCACCTGCTGCTTCTGAGCATTCAGCATGTTGGGGTCGATGGAGAGGGGGCCCAGCACACTCATCATCAGCTCCTTCTCCATCAGCCAGGGCCTCAGCTGGGCCTCAGTGGCCTGGAACGTGGCCAGCTGGGTCGCCGACTCCTCCAGCTTCTGCTGCCGCGCAGCCGTGGCCTGGCTGGCCCTCTCCCACCTGCAATCTGAAGCATCACCTCTGTTGGCCGTGGTCAAGCTCCTGGCCAGCCCACCCCTCCATCACCAAGGTTGTTTTCCCCTCCCTGTGGTTTTCCCCATGGGAGATCTCTGTTTTCCAATAAAAGTAGAGTGGCTCCATCCACTCTCCATCCAAGGAGCCATTACCCAAATCTAGTGGCTTTCTCCTAGGAGCTCCTGGAAGCTCTAAGGAGAAAACCCTGCAAGCAGGATTTCTGTGCTCTAGTCACTGCTGCCATGACCTTGGGTGAGCCATCTCACATCCCTGATAAACGAGGGTGCTCTCATGTGTACCCATCCTCACACAGCACACTCAGAACTCCTGCATGGAGTCAACACATTCCTGCTACTTCAAAGGAGGGAATCTCTGGGCTTCTTTGTGAACACACAGCCTTGTTTAGTCAACACTTAATTACCTAGGGTAGCCTCACTAATGACTAGAATTTTATATCAAGCAGTGAAGCTTTTAATCAAAACAATCAACCTGTGCAGCTAACACATTCCCCCCCCCTCCACCACCACCCTTTTTTTTTTTTTTAAGGAGCAATTTAAGGAGGCAATCCTTTAAAATCCACATCCATCACTGAGATTTCATTAATCACGACAGGGCTCATCTCAGGAACACCTTCCACACCAGACAGCTCAGAGATAGGTTTGCTGTTTACTGAATTTTAATTAGAAGTGACTCTGCTCTAGCGTGACTTTGGGATTGCCCCTCACTCCTGAACCACCTCTAACGTGATGTCTGGAGACAGAAGCCTCATTAATGCTTCAGGCACTTACTCAGGTCTTCCTGCATCTTCTTCCAGTTCGCTGCTTCTGGGGAATCTGGATATTTCTCCAGCAAGCCAGAAAGTGCTTCCTTCACCTTCTGGATCTTCCCAGAATTCTGTTCCAATTCAGCCAGAAATGCCTGGAAAAGAATGATTTGAACTTCCTCAGGTGCAGGGCAGAAGAATCAATGAGCAGGAACGAAGCAGCACCTACAAGCTGGAGCTGGATGATTTCTGTTCTTTGCTCTTTAGTTAAATCACTTTTCTAGCACTATTGTGACCTAACTTGGCTGCAAGGGCAGGGAAAGGCTGGGAACTGCTTTCCAGGAGAAGTTGGAGTGACCCAGCAGCAAGGGCTCCAAATCATCTCTTTTTCCCTCAGCCTGACATCAAGAGGTTTAAAAGCAAAACAGAACTTTGGGAATCTGCCTGGAATTCACAGAATTCACAGAATCACCAGGTTGGAAAAGACCTTCAAGATCATTGAGTCCAACCCAGTCCTAACACCTCGACTAAACCATGGCACTGAGGGCCACATCCAGGCTTTTTGAAACACATCCAGGGATGGTGATGGTGACTCCACCACCTCCCTGGGCAGCCATTCCAGAACTTTATCACCATTTCTGTAAAAAAACTATTTCCTAATATCCAACTTACACTTCCCTTGGTGCAGCTTAAGACTGTGTCTGGGAATGCCCTTCTTTAACTCAGGGCAAATTGTGCTCATTTGTGGCCTGTGGCTAATTCTGTGCACTAAAGCCCATCCCTGGGATCCTTTGGGAGATGCACAGCAGAGGGGTGGAACTGGATGATCTTTAAGGTCCATTTTGTGATCCTGTGACCCCAGGAAGTCGGGAAGAGCAATCACCTTGTTGTGCTCAGCCTGGGCTCTCATCGTCTCCGTCTTGGTGGGCGAGGAGGAGGCGTCCAGCTCGGACAGCATCCTTTCCTTGGACTCCAGCCACTTGAGCATGGAGCTGGCCTCCTCCTGCACCTCCTGCATGCTGTCCAGCATGGCTGAGAGCTGCTGCAGGCGCTCCTGCAGGGCTGCACCCAGAGCCTGGTACCGCTGGCTCACGTCCGACACGTCGCACTGGATCTCCGTCAGATCTGCACCCAAAAAACCAGCCCAGGGTCAGCACCACTGCCCCCACCCTCCACCTCACACTATCAGGTTCTAACCCAGCCCCAGGCAGCCACAGATAGCTGAGATGAGGAGTAAAGAGGCCACGCTCTGCCTGCGGAGTGACGTCGCATCATCCTCACCTCTCCTGCCACGGGGGATTTTCCACTTATCCCCCCTATGCCCTTTGACAGTTTACAAACAAAGCTCTCTGTTGGTGAGCTTGATGCAAACTGAGCCCCCTTTTCATAAAGCCACTGCTAATACAAGGTTAAATAATATGGCAGCAAGATATGAAGCCATTTTTATGCACCTATTATCTCGTTGAACCAGAGAACTAACAGCAGATAACGGGCAATAATTAAAATTGCTCTTCAAACTGGAGGGTTGGATGCTGTTATAATCCCACAGAACCAATAAATTTAATTGCAGGCCTTAAAATGATCTCGCATTTATCAGCTCCTAACACCACCTGAGGAGGTGTCAGGGTGCTGTCACCCCCCAAGGCTGCTCCTCTCCGTCCTTCAGCCCGACCTCCACCCTCCACTGCAGCAGCTGAGAATTCCCAACCCCTTGCCAAGCTCGTTTCCCTTCTGCTGGGATGCTGGCAGTGCCACACTGAGGATTGCATTCCCAGGGAATGGAAATGCACGGATGAAGGAGGGACAGGGGGATGGCTCCGTGGTGCTGAGAGCCAGCTCACCTTTGCAGGTGTGGTATCCGTTCACGCTGCCTCCTGAGCCTCCTGGAGCGGGCAGAGCGGCACCTGGGCAGAGGGGACAGGGACAAGAGGGACAAGAGGGACAAGAGAGAAGTGTCAGGGATGCAGACAGCAAGTGGTGAATGGCTGCTGCATGACAGGGACCACCAAGCACTGACGTGGTGCCTCCACCACCCACCTGCCCAGTGCGGGGCATTCATTTGGTTTGGAGCTCCTTTATCTCTACTCCTCCTGCTCCCCTCACTTTCCTGGAGCTATTCCTGCCTTTCTGGAGCTGGGCAGCTCTCCCAGCATCCCAACATCACCCAGAGAGCAGGGATAATGTGGGCTGGGGGACCACAGGCGTCCTGCCACTCCTGGGAAGCTGCTACCCTGAGCATGATTTTGTGACTTACACCCAATAAAACTGCTGAATGCCTTCCCTGGAGGGATTAATTCCCCCATATCCTCCTTTTTTATGGGATGAAACTATTCAAAGCAGCTCTGTGTTCATGCTGTCTTTGCCCAGAGATGCAGGATGCACCAGTGTCCCCTTCTTTGGACACCAGATGTCACAACCAAAGGCAGATTCACATTTTCAGGCAGGTCTTTCTTTTCTAACCACATATTTTAAAGCTTTCATGGACATAAGGGGCTGCACCTTCAGTCACTCTCAAGCCTCTCCCCACTTCTCCTGATGGTTTTCCTGAGAACTGCTCATGAACTTAATCCTAAAAAACAAATCCAGACCATAAATTGCCATAAATTCCCATCAGTGATGAGAGTCCAGGGACTTGTTCTCACAAGCTGGAAGACATCTTTGAGCTGGTTTCCAAATGAACCAGACATAATCTCATTGCTTCACAGACTTGAAGCCAAAAGGGAGACCAGTAAATCACATCTGACTATCACAGCCCCAAATGTCATCCAGATATGAAACCCAAATGCTGGAGGTTGATTAAAACACTCCAGCCCTCAAGAGGCTGAAGAACATCACCAGGAGAGAGCAGGAGCCACTTCCATGAGCTCCCCAGCTCTTCCAGAGAATGATATGTGTCCCCAAAGCAAACACAGGGCAATTCAGAGCTCGTTAGGCTACAGTTAATTAAGCCAAGTTAGGATGATGCATTGAAGCAATGAGTGACAATGACTCAACCACTGGGCTGAGCCTCACAATACTCAGATCACCACAGGCCCTCTGAATTTGGTTATAAGGAGGAAATAACCCCATTTTTTGCTGAAGGCAGGCTCAGAGAAGTTGCAGTGCTGACAGCAGAGTTGTCCTCAGGAGCGCTGGCCACAACTCACCTGCCTTGGGAGGGGTGTTGGGGGCTGTGATCTCCACGATCAGGTTCTCCAGGAGGGTCCCTCTGCGGCCAATCTCCTCCACCTGGGGGCCCTTCCCCTTCCACTCCTCCAGGAGATCCTGCTCAAAAGCCAAGTTTGGGATTGGAGGCCACACCTGCCCGGCCACAGCCCTTCCCTCCCTGTCTGTCCCCTCTGTGGTGACACCAGGACACAGCAGGCAGGGAACCAGCTCATGGCTGCACTGGGGGAAGTGGGTGTGACGCATCTATTTCTGCCAGGGGGGGAACCAAACAGCAAAAAAAGCTCTTCCCAACTAATGGGTCTGCTGAAGGAAACCTTCTCCCTCCCACCATTGTGGGGACATCCCTCCTCCCCCTCCCTGCAGAGCCCAGCCTGGCTGAATCCTGGGTGTTGAGGGGTGTGAGGGCTGTGGATGATTCAGCAGAGCTGAGTCAAAGCCCAGCACATCCTGATTTATCACATCCTTCTGCTGGAGCACAGCGGGGGCTCGGGTGACAGGAGGCCACCTTCCATATCCACCATGGGAAACACTCATTAAAAACCAGTGTGTTCAGGTCTCCCACTCCTAAATCCCGACCAGAGCAGGCACAGGGAGTGACAGGAAGCCAGGCAGGAATCTCTCACACTGCTCCCTGCTCTGCAAGCCACTGGATGCATGCTGAGACCACCTGCAAGCCTCTGCTTCTTGGGGTTTGTTTCACATTCCAGCATTTCAAGGCTTTCCCAGTGTGATTCCAGCTCCCACCTGGATCTGCTGCCTGTGCTGCTGCAGCTCCTGGGTGCCCAGGGAGGTCTCAGCAGGTGGAATTTTGCCTTCAGTCTCCCTCAGCCACTTCCTGATGGCGCCAACCAGATTCCGAAACTCATCCAGTTGCTCCTGGCAGGATGAGGCATCCTTTTCTCTGGGAGTGAAAAGGTTTTGGAGAGTCAGAGTTCGTGCTCTGCCTTGTAATTACCCCCTCCTGAATGTGGCACGGTTGTGTCCCTAGGAGCCCTTTTTTTAAATAATTATTATTATCAGATGTTGCCAGGGAACAGCACAAAATGGGGTGCACCCAGTGCCAGCCCCTCACTGCTGCTGACCCCCTCAAGTCCTGGCTGGTGGCACTTTTGGGCACTCCAGTGGTGGCCAACAGCCACAGGACCACCACTGCCAGCCTGCCCAGGCTCTTTGTCCTGGCAAAAGTGACACTTTTGGGAAGACAGGGCTCATTCATGCCGTGTCCCCCCAGGCACCTGCATCCCTGGGGAGCCCAGGCTGTGCTGCTCCTCCTCCCTGGCCACAGCTCCATCCATCCAGCCCATCCTGAGGGAACAAGGCAGCCCCTGGATGGGGGTCATGAGCCCCTTTGGCTCATCCTTGCTGGCCACAGCTGTGAGCACAGCCCTGAATTACTGGGGATTACTGGGAGTTTCATCTGCCACCTTCCCTGCATCCCACAGCTCCATCCATCCAGCCCATCCTGGGGGAACAAGGCAGCCCCTGGATGGGGGTCATGAGCCCCTCTGGCTCATCCTTGCTGCCCACAGCTGTGTGCAGCCTGCACAGCCCTGAATTACTGGGGATTATTGGGAATTTCACCTGCTTTTCCCCACCACCTTCCCTGCATCCTGCAGGGATTTTGGGCATACAGAGAGGGGATGCTGCTGCTCTGACCCTGCTCAAGCTCCCTTTTACCCCCATTTCAGGGCACTCCAGGCTGCTCTGCTGCTCCCCATCCTCCCAGCAGGATGCTCAGGGCTGGAGCTGGGAAATGCAGAGCTCCTGCTCCTGCTGCAGCACCAGGAATTTTTCACAACGCCCCCAGCCAAGGCTTTTTTTAAAGCGTCAGCTGGAGCAGAGCTGCCTCAGGATCCTGGCGTGGGAGGAGGGTGGCAGGAAGAGCTGGCTCATGGCCCCCCCTCCTTGGAAAGGAGATCTCCACAGGGCCTTGCTCCACAGGACCATGAAGCCACCCCCAAGCTCCCCTCCTTGGGGCTCACCTGTCTTTTGCCACCTTCTGCAGCTGCAGGAAATCTTTCTTCAGGCTCTGCAGCTTCTCCTGCTGCTGGAAGGAGCTGGGGGTGAAGCCACAGGAGCTCAGCTCCTCAGCCAGGTGCTCCAGGGTGGCCAGGTCCTCCTGGTGCTGCCTCATCTCCGAGTTCAGCTCCTGCCAAGAGCAAAGGGGCGATGCTGGCCACGTTCCCCAGCAGCAGAGGGGATGGACTGGGCACTCCCACACCCTGCTGAGCTCAGTGGGCAGTGCCACGTGTGGCACCAGTGCCAAATGTTGGGCACAGCTCGCTGCCACCTGCTCCTCCAGCTCAGCAAATACTTGGAGCAGCTGCAGGGGCAAATCCCACTTTCCCCAGTGCTGGTGACTGGGATGGGATGAGATGGGATGGGGGGCCCTAGACCAAGGCAAATCAACACCTGCCACAGCACAGGTGTCTGGTTTCGTGTCATCTTCCAGCATTTCTGAGTGGATGAAGCACCCCCTGTGCCAGGACACTTGTGGGAAGCCAGAGGGAGGAATCCTGCACAGCCACCATGGCCCACAACACCCCTGGAAATATCCAAGGCAACCCTGAGCAACCTGGTCTAGTGGAAAGTGTTCCTGTCCCTGAGAGGGGGCATGGAATGAGATGATCTTTAGGGTCTTTTTCAACCCAAACCATTCCAGGATTAAAACACTCCAGCCCTCAGGAGGCTGAAGAACATCACCAGCAGAGAGCAGGGACCACTTCCATGAGCTCCCAAGCTCTACCAGAGAGTGATGGCTCTAAGACCTCCAAGGTCTCTGGATCTGAAACCTCCAGGGCCTCTGGCTCTGAAACCTCCAGGCTCTGTGGCTCTGAAACCTCCAGGGCCTCTGGCTCCGAAACCTCCAGGGCCTCTGGCTCCGAAACCTCCAGGGCCTCTGGCTCCGAAACCTCCAGGCTCTGTGGCTCTGAAACCTCCAGGGCCTCTGGATCTGAAACCTCCAGGGCCTCTGGCTCTGAAACCTCCAGGCTCTGTGGCTCTGAAACCTCCATGGTCTGTGGCTCTGAAACCTCCAGGGCCTCTGGATCTGAAACCTCCAGGGCCTCTGGATCTGAAACCTCCAGGCTCTGTGGCTCTGAAACCTCCAGGCTCTGTGGCTCTGAAACCTCCAGGGCCTCTGGCTCTGAAACCTCCAGGGCCTCTGTGGCTCTGAAACCTCCAGGGCCTCTGTCACATACTGCACTGCCCTCACAGGGATATTTTGCTGTATTAACCCCATGGAGGTCTTTAATTGATAAAATCCTGCTACATTTGGACTGGATCCTAAAAGACCCCATCGGAAAACCAGCCTGGGAAACACCACCCCCCTTTTCCCACAGCTGGGACGGGCTGGATCCCACCAGCCTGGACCTTCCTCAGAGCCCTGGTGCAGGTGGAGCTCCTCCCCAGGGCCTCACCTGGATGTGCTGGGAGAAGTGAGCGATGTCGTGGTCCGGCTGATTCCCGGACGCCAACAGCCGCGTCCTGCTCTCCGTGAACTGCTGCAGCTTCTCCCACAGCTGCTCATACTGCTCCACCTTGGGCAGGAGGCCCTTGAGGGCGTCCTCCCGCTGCTGCTGCTGCTGGCACAGCCTCCCAAAGTGTTCTGTCACCTGGGTCAGCTTGTCCTGCAGCGCGGAGGCCGCGGGGCTGTCGGCGGCCTCGGTGAAGCGCGTCACCATCTCCCTGGTGGCTTCCAGGCAGCTCCTCTGCCTGGCAATGTCCTGCTTCAGCTTCTGTGGGGAGCACACGAGGAGAGAGAGGGATTTTTAAGGAAGGTTCCACAGCAGAACTAACTGGGCTGCCCTCGGGAGAAGCAGCGGGTGCTCTGACACAACCAGAGTTGGGAAAAAATAGTTTTGTATCCCCGTTTTCCTTTCCTTTCTGACATGCCCAACATGCTCTGCTTTTCCCCGTGTCTGAAGTCTTGTTAGCAAAGAAAAAAAGGAGATTTTCAACAAGTCTGTGACCTTAGACAGTTTGCCCAGAGATGCTGGAGCTGCCCCCATCCTTGGAAATGCCCAAGGCCAGATTGTACAGGGCCCTGAGCAAGCTGGTCCAGTGCAAGGTGTCCCTGCCCATGGCAGGGCGTTGGAATTAGATGGTGTTTAAGGTTCCTTCCCACCCGAACCATCCAGTGATTTTATATAAATAAAATAAAATAAAATAATATATATAAAAAAATAAAATAAGACAAGATAAAATAAAATAAAATAAAAATAAAATAAAATAATAAAAAATAATAAAAAAATAAAATAAAAATAAAATAGAAATAAAAATAAGATAAAATAAAGAAAAATAAAATAACTAAAAACAAATAAAACCAAAGAAAAATAAAATAAAATAAAATAAAATAGTTCTACTCATATTCCTTTTTAGGGTTTTTTTTGGTGCTTTCAGCACTCAGCAGTTACCCCTGCATGGTGCAGGTGCTGCTCTGGGGTGTTTGGTGTGATGGAGCCAGGCCAAGCCTTACCACACTCGTGGCAAGCGAGTCCTGGATGGAGGCAGAGGTGAGCACAGCTGGCTGGTCCTTCTCCAGGCTCTTCTCAATCTCAGCCACGGACTGGAGGAGGCTCTCCAGGCTCTCCTGGACGCTCTGGGACTGGGCAATGGATTTCTGCAGCAGGTCTGAGCGCTCGGACATCTGCTGGGAGAGGCTCTGGAAGCGGCTCACGATGGCATCTGCAGGGTTCAGCACAGAGGAAACCCAGTGGCACAGAGCTCCAAGTGCTCAGAGAGCAGCCAGGGTCACCTTTGGCTCCCCCAAAACTCTCAGTGATGACAAATCCCTGTCCCCAAACTCAGCAGTGGGACGGGGGACGCCACACAAGCGGCCACATCCCTCCCCACATGCAAACCCTGAGGATACACTGCCATGTGATTACCCCCAAATTCCCCCAAAAAAGTGATTTCTTTTTGCCCCCTCTGGCTCGTTCCCACTCTCCCCAGCCCTCCCTGCCAGCTGCTTTGCCCTGTACCTGTTGTTTCCTGGATGTGGCTGTGGTCTGGGGCTGGCTCCCCTTGGATGTCCAGCAGGGTCCGAGCTGCTTTCTGGAGCTTCTCCACTGGCACCTGGTGCTCAGCCAGGTCTCCTTGCAGTTGCTGTTTTCACACAAGACAAGCCAAACTCAGAGATGGGTCCCAGGTGGGATTGCCACACTCGTGGAGCTCAGGGCTCCTTTTACACCCTCTGAGGGATCCTCTGCAATTCATCACTGAATCGTTAAGAAATTATGGAAAAATCTACCTTGACACTGCAGGCAGAGCTGGATCAGAGACACTGTCCCAGTGCTCTGGCACCCTCATGGGGGAGGAATGTCCCTCTCTATGTCCCTCTGGGGTGTCTGTGACTGCACCTCTCCCAGAAATTTGACCCCACCTGAACTGCAGCACAGAACCTGCTACACCTGCATCTTTGCCCTCAACCAGCAAAAAAACCACCAAGGGGTCAAGTCTCCCTGCTGCTGACTGCTCAGAGCAGCCAAATTCCCATCCAGGCTCCAGCATTTCCCAGGAGATCCCCCAAGAGTACCTTGGTGCTGGCGAGCTGCTTCTGCAGCACGGCCAGATCTGAGGAAACTGTCTCTGAGAGCAGCTTCCCCAGGGCAGCTTCACTCTCCTGCAGCCACGTCCTGAGAGACTCTGCCACCTCCTGGAACTGCTGGTAGTGATCCAGCAAGGTGTTCAGGTGGGAGCCCAGCTTGGAGCACTGCAAAGGAGCAACGAGAGGTGACAGGGATGCACATAAATGCTGAGCAGCCCCTGGGAAAAGGAACAGGAATCAGCAAGAAAGAAAAAGCAATTAAAAAAAAAAAATCAATCTTGCCACAGGTTAAATGAATTACCAGGGGTAGCATGCAGACCAACAGCAAGACAAGGGTATTGCCCAAGCCCTGATGAAGACAATCCTTGTCCTACAGTCTATAAATGTCCTGGCAGCTGGGACAAATATCCCTCCCTGCCTAGGAGGCAAAGAGCCCCCAGCTGACAGCCCTTCCCATACCTTGGAGTGCAGCGTGGTGTATCTCTGCGTGGCATCCTCCAGCTTGCTCTTGACCACACTCCTGGACATCACCAGCTGGGATTCAGCATCCCCAGCATCCCCATCCAGAAACTTCTCCCCCGACATGGTGACAAAGCGCAGGTCACCCTTGTGGGAGATCACATCCTCTGCAAAGCTCCCCTGGCGCCGCAGCAGCTGCCTCAGGGAGTCAGGGTCACTGTCCCCCTTGTACATCCCCTGCAGGTCCTGCTCTGCCTGCTCCAGCCAGGCCTGGAACTCCCCGTGGTCCTGCAGGAACTTCTGGAGCTCCTCCCTGAGGAGCTGCACCCGTTTCAGCCGTGTCTCAGCGCGTGCCAGCGACGCCGGGTACCGCTCCCGCAGCTGTGCCAGCTGTGCCTGCAGCCTCTCCTGCTCCTCCCCAGCCAGGCTGGGCCCCTGCTTGTCCAGGAAAGCCTGTGCTGCCTGCGTGGCCAGGATGATGTCCTGCTGCTGGGACAGCAGCTCCTGGTGCTGCGCCTGGAAGATGCAGGGATAAAGGTGAAGCTCGGCGCTCAGCGGCTCTGCTCGCCTCTGCAGTTGTGGCTGGGCCAGCTCTGGAAGGGTTTAAGGAAAGAGTGGAGCAGCCTGGTCTAGTGGAAGGTGGGAGTGGAACAGGATGATCTTTAAGGTCCTTTCCAAGCCAATTATTTTCATGATTCTGTGACAAAGCATCAGCAGGGTTGGGAAAACTGGGAATGTCCCAGGTTGGGCTACAGGAGTGCAGAGTGAGCCCTTCTGTGGCCATCATGGGCACCTGCTGGACCCTGATTCCACCTTGTGGGTGGGCACTCACCCACCACACGTCCTGCATCTCCTGCAGGAAGCTGGGCAGGGCCTTTCTGAGCTTCCCACATGGAGAATCCCATGCTTCAGACCCAGCTTAACAGCAGGGACAGGGCGTGGGGCAGGAGGCTTTGAGGGGGGACAAGGTGTCAGTGCTGACCTTCAGCCTCTCGTAGTGCTCATCCAGGCTCTCAGCAGCACTGTCTGCTCCCACAGTGTGGCCATCAGGGACATCCCCAGTGCTTTTCCCTGTGCCTGGACTGACAGGGTGTGGTCTGTACTCTGGGAGCTCTCCCTTCTGCTCCAGCGATGCCACCCAGCTCAGAAGGGAATCGATCTTATTGCTGTTCTCCTCCAGCTCTTTGGCAGCTTTCACCTGAAAGCACAAGGGCTCCAGATAAGAATGACCCAGTTCTTGCATGTTCAGCAAACTGCTGCACGGGGGAGGGAGACAAAAATCAGCAGAAGGAGGAAAAAAAAAAACAAAAAACCCGAGGAGTTTCCCAGCCTCAGCAAATGCCTGAGACACCTCCAGACCCTTTGTGGCTCTCTGGAAGGTGCAGAAAAGCTGTGAAAAATCTCAGCCTCACTGCTACATTGAATTTCTCATCCTCATACGACCCAAAGGGGCTGGGATGTGATTGACAATCCTCATCCATTAGGGGTCACCCCAAAAGGCAGAGTAAGGGACCTTTTCCTCCCCCATTCCCTCCACAACCAGCTCATCCCTGGCTGCAACTCCCAAAACATTTAAAGACAGAAATATCTGGGGGAAACCTCATCTGGGGAACACCCAGCAAGGAACCACAAATTGCCCTGTGCTGCATCACCCAGATGGGCTCCCAGGACCTCACAGTCCCCCTCAAGCAAAGCCTGGAGGCTCTGCAGCTCCTGGCACGTTACCTTCTCAGTCTCCTGCTGCACTGCAGCACTCACAGCACTCTCCAGCTCCTTCTGGGCCACCTCTGTCCTCTCCTGCAGGGACTGGTACTGCTCCTTGGCACGCTGCAGGTCCTGCTGCAGTGCTGCCAGCTCCCCAGGCTCCAGCTTGGCCTTGTTCTCCTCCAAAAACTGCTCTGTGCTCTTCAGGACACCGGCAAAGGAGGCGGCTCTGCTGTGCATGCTCCTCTGCAGCTCCTGCGCGGGTGAATTCATGAGGCCCTGGGCACTCCCGAGGTGCAACCTCTCCACCTCTGCCCCCCAAAATTTAAACATCACCGACCTTAACATCGCTTTGCCTCTGCTGCAGGGCAGGCAGGTCCCCTTCTGCTCTCTGCTGCTCTGCCAGGGTGTCCTCAGCCTGGCCCAGCCAGCGGCTCAGCTCAGCCAGGCTCTGTGCCCGGGCTGCCTGCTGCTCCTGCAGCGTCTGTGGGCACAGCAAAGGGGACAGGGGGACAGGGGACAGTCAGGGCCAGCCCTGCACCTCCTCTCACGCTGCTGAAAGGCAAGGTGAGGTTACAGCTGGAGCAGTTCCTGGAGGGGAGGATGCAGCACAGAAAACTTTGTGGCTCTCCAGGCGCTCCCTGTCCGGCAGCAGTGACACTCAGGTCCCTGCCAAGCTGGTGGCACCTTTGTCACCACTGGAGGTTTCTCTCTGAGCTGCAAGATGGAGCTGCACTGCTCTGCCAGGAAAACTCAGCCACGAGTTTCTGTGCCTTTTCCATTCCACCTTACAAACATTAAAACTGCAGCAGAAACTCATTGAATGAGAGGCAACAACGGCCTGGGTCAGGCAGCGCCACTGTGGAGCCCCAGAAAACCCCAAATGAGGGATTTTTTTAATGATTTGGGATTGGAAAGGGAGCCCTGGAGAGGGAAAGTGTTTCTGTAGCTGATCCAGCTCCTCCTTTTGCTGCCAGAGCACAACACAGAAGCGCCTGTTTGAGCAATTGAGCATGATGTGACCTGAGAGTCCCTGTGACACCCCTGTCCCCCTCTGCCAGGGGGCATAAAAGGGTTCTGAGATTTTCACTGGGCATTTCAGCAAGGTGATGTACAAACTTGTGCAAAACACTGTGCCTGTTTCTCCCAGTCATAAGACAAAACAACAGAAGCAAATTGAAAGAGCCTTCTTAAGAGCTCTTCAGCTGCAAAGCGAGTTCTTCCTGGGTTAGGATGGGCTCAATCTGAAAAGGCAAAGCAAACTAGTTAATACACACACACACTCCAGAGAGGACAGGCAAGAGTTACAGAGAGCAATTGTTAATAAAAAAACCACATTAATCCTGTCTTGGACGAGAGGATCCATGCAGTGCTGGGTGCTGCTCAGAGATCTGAGGACTTGTTTTTGTCCTTGCCAGCTGTTTCCCTGGGACAGCAATGCCTGATGTGTGCAGTGGAAATAGGACATTGGGTGTCTGGGGTGGCCCTTCTGCTCAGGGATTTTGGGGGTGATTACAGGGTTCACTCCACCCAGCCCCAAACAATTCCATATCTAGCAGAGAACTGCTACCCAGACCTCGGCAGGGCTCCACATTTTGGGAGCAAAGCAACTTTCTGTCTGGTGGGAAGAAGAAAGACTTTTAGAGGAAGCTCATGATGTGCAGTGAGGACTCCTGAACTGGGAGTGGCATGCAGGGGAAATCCCAAATTGGAGGTGCTTTAGCTGCTGTTCCTGTGGCTGGGAAGCACTTCAGCAAGCAAAGGAGGAGACGTCTCACAACCTTCACCTGCTCCGTCTGCTCCACTTGCTGGAGACAGAGCTGCAGCACCTCCAGCCGTGCTGTCACACGCTCTGACAGGTCCCTGAAGGCTTTCTGCAGCTCATTGAGCAGCCTCAGCAGCTGCCTGCTCTGCTGGGGGGTTAAATCCTGTGCATGCTCCGAGATGAGGAACTGGATGTCGAAGGCAGCAGCGTCCAGCTCAGCCTTGGTGTCAGCCAGGGGCTCCTTCAGCTCCTGAATGGGAGAGGAGAAAACAGCTAAAATGACCCTAAAAATGACCAGGGTTCTGCTGCACTGCTTCCCATCTGCAGGTGCCACATGAAATATATTCCAGAAACACCAAACTCTCCCAAAACAGCACTCAGCATGGAGGTGAGTGTCACAGACATCTTCCATGAAAAATCCTTTCCTTAGGATTTTCCCTCCTGAGAAGCTGAGAGGCCTCAGGAGCAAAATGTAACCAATGGTTATCTGCTGCTGTGGAATGGAACAGGTGCATCTGGGATTGGGCTCATGTGGTTGTTCCTAATTAATGGCCAATCACAGCCCAGCTGGCTCAGACTCTCTGTCTGAGACACAAGCCTTTGCTATCATTCTTTCCTATTCTATTCTTAGCCAGCCTTCTGATGAAATCCTTTCTTCTATTCTTTTAGTATAGTTTTAATATAATATATATCATGAAATAATAAATCAAGCCTTCTGAGACATGGAGTCAGATCCTCGTCTCTTCCCTCATCCTCAGACCCCTGTGAACACCATCACAGGACAGAGTGTCTCACCCCAGGGATTTTCCAACCTCCCTCTGCACCAGGTGCTGGAGGCACCTCACCAAGAGGTTCCTTGGATGTGTATAGGGCTGTCCTTGGGTCTGAAGATGACCCAGACCTGGCCACAAGTGTCTCCATGTGCCACCACCAGCTCTCAAAGCCTTCAATCCCCTGATTTCCATGCCAAGATGCCACCACCAAGCTTGGAAACAATCTTTATAGCCAGAAGATGGATTAGGAGACTGGGCTGCTCGTACAGGTGATGGAGACCAGGGCAGGTGTGATGGAGCAGCCACCACCAAATTTGGAAATAATCTTTATTGCTAGAAAATAGATAAGGAGACTGGGCTGCTCATCCAGGTGATGGAGACCAGGGCAGGTGTGATGGAGCAGCCACCACCAAACTTGGAAATAATCTTTATTGCTAGAAAATAGATAAGGAGACTGGGCTGCTCGTACAGGTGATGGAGACCAGGGCAGGTGTGATGGAGCAGCTTCCCAGAGGATGCAGCCTGACAGGAATCTCCCCAGGTCACTCAGCCACCACCACACCCCTGCACAGGAGCATTTCAAACAACCAAACCAGGCTGTGTATTATGGAAATAAATGCCTTTAGAGAACACCCAGCACAGCAGCTCCTGCTGCAACACAAGCTAAGGGCAAACCCTGGGAGAGAAGCAGGATTAAAAGCTTCTCCTCTGTGCAGAGGGCAGCAAGTTCACCAGGCTGCAGGATTAGGGGCATTGCCATGGTTACCTTGTAGTGCTGCAGGCAGTGACTCAAGCTGCTGCCATCGGTGGCCTGCTGGAAATCTCTGTCATCCAGGGCCTCCGTGGTGCCAGAGACCCAGCTCAGCAGCTCCTGCAGCCTGCCCTCAAGAGCCTCGTGCTGGGCCAGGATTTTAGCCTGAAAAGCAGAAATTCATCGTTTAAAGGAGGAATTTTAGGGAGCTTTTGGGGCAGCAGGGGGGGGGCAGTTGCCAGCTCTACCTTTTCAGCTTCTGCTGCCCCACGAAGGTTTTGCAGCCGGGACTGCAGGACTTCACTTGCAGAGCTCAGAGACTTCTGGAGGTTCTTGGCATCCTTCTCCAAAGCCTTCAGTAACTGCTCAGGGACTTCTTCAGGGGGGTTGGCCACAATCCTCTGCACAGCATCCAGCTCCTGATTCACTGGGAAGCTCAGCTCCTGCAGCTCAGAGCCCAGAGCCTGAGACAAAGACAGCACGAGAGGGTGACTTCACCTCCCTGCTGCCAAAACCCAGCAGGGCTTTTGGAGAGGCAGCTCCAAACACTCAGTCTAGAAAAATTCATCCCACCCTCCAGCCCTGCTCAGCTGCCAGCACTCTCCTGCCTCTCTCCAGGCTGTAAAATTCCAGTCAGCCAAGCTCAGGTTGCTGTAGGAGGGATGAGGTTTGATATAAAAGCCTATTAAAGCTGAGACAAAACTCCCAGAAGCAGGGAGGGGTGCAAGGGCTGTGCAGGAAGCTGGGGAGAGGGGGAAAAGCTCTGTCTAACACCAGCCAAGCCTGGCCCAGCCTCACTCACCTCTGCTTGCTGCCTCAGGTCGTGCAGGGCTGCCAAATTCTGCTCTGCTGGCTGCACACGTTTGATTCTCATCTCGATGTCTCGGAGCATGGAGAGATAAGATATCAGCCTCTGGTCGTGCTCCAGACACATCTTCTTGCTGAACTTGATCTGCAGAATCAGACAGGAAATCAAAGCTTCAAACTTGGTCAGAAAAGAAGACAAAGTGTTATATAAAATCCTTTTTTTTTTTTCCCCAAAGGAGAAATTTGTTAATAACGTTCCCGCTCATGGACTTGCCACTTGCCAGCCTTATCTACAAGATTTACTACAGGAGAAATAAAACACATGGTTCTTTTTCCAACATAAGCTTATAAATGGCAAGAGATCTCTTGGTGTTGCAGCAAAAGTGCCAAAAAAAAAAAAAAAAAAAAGAGTTCTACTTGTTAGTCATTTAGCAGTAATGCTCCAGCAAAAGGAGCCACAACTCAGCCCTGAGTGTTTCCAGTTGTACATCACCAGCTCCTTTGCCAAATCCACTGCAGCTGATACTGCAACATCCACTCCTCGTGCTTCAGCTGCCCTCTGTGCCGAGGACCTCAGACAGATTTAGCACCAAACGTCCACAAATAGCTCAGAAAAATTGCCTAAATAGCAAAAATATTCACTGACCTGGGCTGGCCTCGTGGACTCCCTCGAGGTTTCCAGCAGCTCCCCCTCCACGATCACAGGCAAGAGCAAACCCCGATCACCTGGACCTGGCTGCCTGCTCCTCTCTTGGAGGGGTTCTTCTTGGGATTCTGGGGGAGCAGAGGCACCTCCTTGGTCTGCTCTGAGCTCAGCTCTTTGCTCGTGCTGTTTCTCCTCTCCAAGCTCCAGGACTGCGGGGGTTTCCTGAATTTCCGTGGGCTCCTCTGTGATAATTAAGTCCTGGGGCAGTTCCTGTGCCATGGTGGCTGTGCTGGGCACATCCTGGGTGGTTTCCATCCTCATGCCTTCCTCAGTCATTCTTTCCTCCAGACTCAGGGCCACCAAGGAATCTTGACCATCCCTGGTCCCACCTTTGACCACTTCTCGAGCTTCCCCATGCTCAGGGGGCACAGGGAACACCTGAACCTCTCTGGGCGTTTCTTTATCTTTCCCAGGAATTGTTTTCTTCCCTTTTCCACCCTTGTGCTTGGCTGTGTCTTGTGCCAACCCAGCAGCAGTCTCAGTGCTGGATTCGTGTTTTGGCTCTGGCACCCTGGAGACAAAGTGCTCCTCCTCACCCTTTTTCCTTGGAATTTCTTGGGAAACCAGAGAAGGAAGGAGCTGCTTCTCTGCAGGTTTCTCTGGCTGAATGCTGTCTCCTGGAATGCTGCCCTGCTTCGCTTTCTTTTTCTTGCTTTTCTTTTTCTGGGTAGGTTTTAGCTCAGTTTCACTTGTTTTTTCCTGATCAATGGCACCTCCTGTGCGAGGGGTTTCTCTTCCTGTGTGTTTGGCAGCTTTTTTCCCTGCAAGCTCATCTCCCACAGGAACACCAAGCTCAGGGGGTTCTCCAGACCCTGCAGGACTCATCCCTCCCTTCCCTGGGCCCACGCTGACAGATTCCCTTGGGGCTGCTGGCGTCTCCTGGACCACACTGGTCACTCTCTCTCCTTGCCCAGAAATCGCCACTGCACCTTCTCCACCTGCCACAACTCCCTCTGCACTTACAAACTCTCTCCTCCTCCTCCTCTCCTCACCATCCTCCTCCTCGTGAAGCACCTCTGTGCCCAACTGCTCCTTCTCCAAGCCCAGTCTCTCAACTTTCTCTGTCTTTCCATCCACTTCTTCCCTCAATTCCTTGCCCTGGGCTGCTCTCACCTGGGAGATGCCTTTTGGGATCCCTTTTTCCACAGCCCCTTCCACCACTGCCTCTTCAGGGAGGGACACTGTCCCCAGCACTGAGGGGTGCTCTGGAGTCGCCTCAGCCTTTGCCTGGGGGTGATGAAGATGATGATGTTCATCCTGGGGATGGACAGCACCCTCTGAAGCTTCCTGAGGTTTTAATTTCCTTTCTGTCTGTGCTTTGGGGGATTTCTCAGTGGCAGCAGCTGCACTCTGAGCTGTGTCATAGCTCACAGCTTTAGGATGAGCTTTGGGCTCAGCACCATCAGACCTGGCAGGGAGGATGACACCCTCCCCTTTTGGAGATAGTTTTTCTGTTTTTTCCTGCGAAAGTTGCAATTTTTCTACTTTGAAGACCTCAGAGCCAACTTTCTCCTCGGATATTTGCACATCCCGAAGACCAGCAGCTAATTTTTGGCTAATCAGTCCCTTTCCAACAGCTTCCTGCACAGTCAACCTTTTCCCACCGGGGGCATCAACGATTCCCCCAGCCCTGAGCTGGTTGGTGGCGATGACTTTGGCCATGGCCTCATCCAGCATCCCCTGCTCCACAGCCGCCCTCAGGGACAGCCTCTTGCTGACAGAGCCCTCCACCACCCCTCCACTGTCTGCCTGTGCCTGCAGCAGCCTCAGGGTGGGCAGGGGGTCCACCTTGCCCAGCCTCACCGCCTCAGCACACGGCAGCTTGGTCCCCGTCACCTCATCCCCGACGGCCTGGAAGGGATGGACCTCCAGGTACCTCTGGCCGGATTCAATGTCGATTTTACACTTCTTCAGGAACTCTGAGTAGGGGGTGATCTTGCAGGTCTCGGGGTCCACAATGCCTTCTCTCATTTCTGGAGATGACAGGGCTTTCTCCACCACCTGCTGGGGCACCAGGCCCTCCTGCGCCGCCTGACTCAGCGCCAGTCGCCGGCCAGAAGCTGGATCGAGGATGCTTCCACTCTCAGCCTGGATTTCCTGCACTTTCCTCTGGAATTCTGGGCTAAGGAGCCCCAGTGACACTGCCTGGGGCAAGGGCAGCTTCTCCTTTGTAGCTGGATGCACAAAGTCCTGCAGGACCACACTTTCGGCTTTCCTGAGCTCCTTGCACAGGTCTGGACTGATCAAACCGTGTTTCATGGCATTGTCCACCGAAAGCCTCATCCCAGACACGTGATGGATGATCCCCCCATCAGCCACCTGCTTGGTCAAGAGCTGAAAAGCCTTTTCCTTCTCCAGGAGCCCTTTTTCAACAGACTCTGCCACAGTCAAAGGCTGTTTGCTTGCAGGATCCACAATCCCACTGGTCTCAGCCTGCAAATTAATGAGCTTCTGCCTGGTCACCTCATCAGTGCCTTTCCCCTTGGAAGCCTTCTCCAGCTTGACCAGCTCTGTCTGATTCGTTGGCTCTATGAGGCCCAGATTTGAAGCCAAAGTCACTGACACTTTTTTGCCACGTTTCAAGTCAACAATGCCCCCAGTAACCACCTGCCCTTCCAAGATCCTCATGGCTGTCTCCTTGTCCAGAAGGCCAACAGCAGCAGCATCCTTGATGCAGTAGACAAAGTTGTTGCCCGGGTCAAGGACACCACTTATGGCTTTGTCGGACGTGAGGACCTTCTGGAGCAGCTCCTCGTCCATCAGACCTTCTTCAATCACGTCCTCAGTGGTCAAGGATTCACATGCCTGAGGGTCAAAGAAGCCGCTGAACATCCTCATCCTCTCCATGAGTTTCACAGCTGTGTGGCCAGACACCACTCCAGAGGCCACAGCCTCATCCAGCAGCAGGGTCCTGCCCGTCTGCTCATGGGTGATGCCACCACTTTGGAGCTGCATCAGGAGCTTTTCCAGAGTGTCCTCTGCTTCCTGCTCCTCAGGGGCCACCAGGGCTGGTTCCTCAACGCCCTCATCACCCAACACTTCTTCCTGCTCTCCTTCTTCCACTTCCAGCACAGTTTCCATGTCCTTGCTTTGCCTCTCTGCTGGTGCTGCCTCCGCACGTGCAGGGCGCACAGTGTCCTCTCCTCCCAGCACACCATTTTCAACTGTTCCCTCCTTCAGCAAATAAACCTCTCCCACACCCCTCACATCTTCTGCCTCTTGTTCAGGCTCCCTCACACCCTGAGACCTCTCTGCCACCATTTTCAGTCTGTCTCTACTTTCTGGAACACCCACTGTTATGCAGATTTCACTTTTCACAACCACTGCCCCACTTTCCAATGCCTTCTTCTGATATTCAGGACCTTCCACTCCATCTGCTGCAGGAGGCTTGGACTCTTCTTCTGCCTCAATCATCATTTCCTCTGTTTCTCTGATTAATCCACTATCAAGGTCACTGGGAGATTCTGGCATCAATAATTTTACCTGATGTTTATCCTTGGTTGTAAAAGTCACCTGTTCTTTTCCAAATTCAGCATCAGTTTCACTCCTCATGGTCTCCTGTTCAGTGGAAATCTGCTCCTGCTCTTCCACATGCAGGAAATCCTCTGCATCCTCCAAGAGGAGACTTTCAGGTCCCACCACCACCTCTCCATTCTCCAGAGCAGTTCTGGGTGGTAGGATCCTCCCACTTTCACCTTTTGAAGGAGCAAATTGAAGCTCAAGCTGCTGCAAAGCCAAACCATTGCAAGGTTTGCTCTCAAGAGCTGCCTCTGCCTCTGTCTCCTCAAAGCCTTCCAACACCTGTGCACAGGATCCATTTTCCTGGCTTTGGATGAGAGCTTTAGTGAGGTTGTTCAACTCTGCATCCACCAAGAGCACCTTCTGGCCATCGTGGATGTTGATGTAGCTGTGTGTCATCAAGTGGAACGCCAGCCTTTCCTCAGCACTCCTCAGCAGAGGCTCCTCCTGACCCGTGGGGCTCCTTCCAGGGGAGCTCTGGCCCTGCCTGCTCCTGCCTGGAGACCCAGAGAGCTGCACACTGGCCAGGACATCAGGGATGGCTGTTGACTTCAGCTCCTTCACCACCTCTCCCTCCAGGATGCCCTGCTCCACTGCCTTCTGCCAGGACACCACCTCTGTGGTGTCTGGGACAAAAACAGCCTGGAGGAGCTGCCTCTTGCTGAGAGCCTCCTCAATCAGCTCCGTGGAGAGCATCCCCTGCTCCAAGGCATCTGCAACAGGGATGATCTCCCCCGTCTCTGGCCACAGCAGCCCCATGAAGGACCACAGGGATTCCAGGACCAGCAGCGCAGTCCTTGGAGCTACCAAACCCTTTCTTAGGGCTTCATCCATGGTCAGCCTCTCTCCCGTGGTGGTGTCCACGATCCCACCGGTCCGGAGCTGCCGGATCAGGAGCGTGCAGGCCAAATCCTGGTCAATCAAATGATGCCTGACAGCCTCATCCACAGTCAGCCTGTGGCCTGTCCTGGGGTCAACAATGCCACCAGCAAAGAGGTGGGCTTCCAGCAGCCTGATGGTCACCTGCCTGTCTATCAGCCCCTCCTGGACTGCACGGAAGATGCTGACCTCCCTGCCTGACCTCAAGCTCACCATCCCACCCGCCAGCTGCCTGACAGGGAGCAGCCTCAGCCCAGTCTCTTGGTGGATGATGCACCTGTCCAGGAGCTCAGGCAGACTGATCTTCTCAGCAGTGTTGGGGTCAATCAAATCCCTGCCACCCTCCAGGTGAGACAGGAGCCTGGAGTGAAGCTGGGGGGGAAGGAGCCTTTCTTGCACTGCTGTCTCCATGCTGATTCTGCCCTGCTGGTATCTAAAGCCCCCAGTGAGGAGCTCAGCCTCAAGAATCTTCAGCCCAAGGCTCTCACTGATCCTCCCCTCCTCTATGGCAGCAGCGACGGGGAGGAGCTGCCTCCCTTCACATCTGATTTCTTCCACCTGCTGGAGAGCATCCTTCAGTTCCTGCAGCACCTGGAACGCCCTGAGATCAATGATGTTTCTTGCCAGAGCTTTCTCCAAGGAGAGTTTCTCACTGGTCTCTGGGACAACTAAGTCAGAGGAGATCACCTGGGCCTCCAGGAGGACCAGGCCTGTGTCCTGATCTATAAGACCTCTCTGCATGGCACCAAAGACAGGGAATATTTCTACCGTGCCAAGATCGATCACTCCTGCCACGGCTTCGCTGCCCTGGAAGAGAAAGAGAAGGAAAAGAATTAAATCAGAATCCAGCATTTCCAGCACTCACTGCATGAGTTTCAGGGAGGTGTCAGTTAAAAAAAACAAAACAAAACAAAACAAAAAAAACTTAAAATCCCCAAACAGGCTAGAAAGTCCTAAAGTGTTTGAAATCTAGTCCATCACCAGGGCAGCACCAAGATGCTTCCAATATCCACCAGCAGTAATGCAGCAAAGCAGCAAGCACCAAAACTCAGACTCATTCCTAATGCTCCACAGAAAAGAGGGCAGGAAACCAACAAGCACAACAAAGCCCTTCAACAACTCCAGCTTCAAAAAGTAAAGACAACACAAATCCCACTCATGGGGAAGAAACTCCCCCAAAACCACCCACTGTGGGGTAAAAGGAACCTTTCCCAGCACAGCCTCCATGCTGATTCCTGCCATGCTGAAAATCCTGCACTTCCCAAGCAAATCCCAAGTGCCAGGATGGGTGGGGAACAGCACAGAGCCCCGTGCCACGGAGCAGCTCCCAGCCATGCATCAGGGCAGGAGCAGGACAGCTCCCCAGGCATGGCCATGGTCCCACTCCAGCACCTCTAAGCTGCTCCTCAGACAGGGCCAGGGGAGAAATGGAACAAGTTGGAGGTTCCAGCATGAAAACAGTGACAAACTGGGACCACACCAACAACTGTGGTGTGTTTTGGAGGGGCTTTTCTTGCAGCTATCCCCACGGGGAGGGTGATAATTTAGGTGATAAAGTGTCTCTGTTCAAAGGCTCTTTGGACATTTGGGTTTCTCCCAGTGCCACTGGTTGGGTATAAGGCTGGCCCAAGCACTCCAAGATTTTTGTGGGGATGGCAAGGAGGGAATCAGGACTATGGAATGAATTCCTTTTGCATCCCAACACCCTGCTGTGGGGACAGGAGGAACCTGCTGGGACAACCTCAGCTCTCCACCACCATCGCCAGACCCTGACGTGCATACTCAGAGACGTGGAAAGACAGAGAAAAGAGGGAAAGGGGGGAAAACAAAAGAGCAAGATCAAAAAAGGAGATGGATGGGAGGGAGGGGAGTAAAAGGCTTTTACTTACCGACTTGCAGGGTGTGCCTTGAGCAGTTAAAGACAGAGCCTTATGGAGCAGTTCAGCCGTATCACACACAGTGTAAAGCTTGGGGTTAGCGTCCAGCATGCGACTGTTTTGTTTTGCAAAAAGAACCCCACACACAGGTCCGTCCTCTTTCCCTTTTGTGTGTTTTGTTTGTTTGTTTAAATCCCAGGGGGGTTAGTTAAACTTGTAAGCAAGGATGTCAGTTAATCTTAAAAACAGTTGACATGAAACACAAACCATACAGGGACACATCATGCTCAATTTAGCGCGCTCTGCTTTGCATTTTTCTGGTCTTTTGTAACTTCTTTCTGACAGTTGGATGTTTCCAGCAAGCAAATGTTAAAGAGTTCTTCATGCTCCCTCTACAGTGAAGCAACAGCTCCGCAGCAGAGCTGCAGGGATGGTTTTGCAGACGGGGATTTAAGGTGAAGCCCCACTGCCATCTCTTGTTTTGCTGCCTGGGCTTCATCAAATCTGTGAGTGAAAACTGTTCCAGCCCCAAAGCAGCCTCGTGCTGTACCAAAACAGCTTGACAAGCCCTGGAGAAGGCTTTTGCTCTAAAATTTTCCTGACCAAAAGGGAGGAAAAGGGAAAGGAAAAAAAAAAGCATCCATTCCACAGGGAGGCTGCACCAAATCTGTGATGGCTTAACAAAATGATTTGTTCACCTTTCTGCTGCCAGCACAAGGGCTAAAGGGCTTGCAATAAAATAAATCATTTCCTGCTCTGAAACACCTGGAATGTGCTGTAAAGTCCAGTTTGGAGCAAAACACTACATTTTTAGGTTAAAGCTCGACAGGAAGATCTCAAAAAAAAAAAAAAAGCAGCTCTGCCACCTTCTCCCCATGAGTGGCTTGAACAGGGCTTCACTCACAGACCTGAGAGCCAAAACCTGCATCTCACAGCCAGATGTGAGCGGGCTGTTGCTTCAGGGTACAGGGAGCCAGCAAGCAAACACACAAAAATATCCATTGACACATGAATATACACTTAGAGAACAGGCACACGTAAATCTGTGAATGACAGCTGGAACAGAGGCAATAAGGATGTGCTTCCAGCCCTCCCTGCAAGGATGGGGCTGGTGGATGTGAACAGGGAACAGGTCCTGAAGGTCTCCCAGCTCAGCTGAGGGGCTGGAGAGTGTAATTGCCTTCCACATGGAAGAGCTGCTGAGAAAAACCCTTGGGCAGACCCTGAGTGAGTCCCACGTTCCTGCAGCCCCTGCCCGCAGTGGGACCGAGCCCTCTGAGCTCACAGCCCTCAGAGGACACAGATTTCCTCAAGGGGACATTTCCAGGGCAGAACTCCATCTGCCACCCTGCTCACCAAGCACAAACAAGCCTCGTGCAGAGGGCAGGGCCCTGATGGCAACCAAAGGACAACTCTCACAACAGCTCCTGCTTGGCCTCCAGGCACCACCAGATGCTGTGGGTGACCGTGAACAGGAGAGAAGGCTCGTGCCAAGAGGCTGTGAGTGGCCAGTGGCCAGAGAAACACAACAAAACGAAACCTTTTCCACATCCTGAGGAGGGAAGGTGAGGAGTGAACAGGGCTGAGCAGGGAGCAGTACCTTGTGCTCTGTCTCCTGAGCCAGCTGGCTCTGGAGCTGCTGGAGCTGCTCTGTGGAGTTGCTGCAGAGAGCCTGGTAGGTTTCCTTCAGAGCACCAATCTGAGCAGAAATCTGGTCCTTTTCTGGTTGGGAAAGCCTGCAAGGGGAAGGGGAAATACCTCAGGGTACTGCCCAAACCATCTCCACAGAATTACCGCATCCTTCCAAGCACAGGAAAAGGCCAAATCCACCATGAGTCCCTTCCTCTCCCTGCCCTGCTCAGCTAAAACCTGCCAGGATAACCAACCTGCATTGTAACAATCAAATCCTCCAATATATGTGTCTGCATCTCAGCTAAAGAGGATTAATACTGTCCCACAGCATAAATGAGTGCACATTTCACAGATCTCATTGCAGACAATAAAGAAGAAAACTGTGGTGTGCAGCTCATTGTTTTTAACTGGAGTCAGGCACTGGATCCCATGGATCCACAGCTCTAAGGAATCTCATCTCCAGCCCCTGTTCGCTCCCTGGTCACACTCACTTGTGGCTGTGTTTTGCCAGGAAGATTTGGGAAGTTTTGATGGCCTCAGAGACCTGCTCCTTCTTTCCAATCAGCTCCTCATTCAGGGCCTGGAAAAAAATGCAAAAAAGAAAGAAAGCAGTTTAATGCAGCTGTGAAAAAAAAGAGCAGAAGTTAAACCTCAGGGTCTGGTGTCAGCCCTGCTTTACCTGCTGCTCTGAGATGGATTTCTCAATGTCTCCCAGCTCTCTGCTCCCAGCAGCAGCTGTCCTGCCCTGCACACTCTGCTTCAAGCCCAGGGCCCAGCCCAGGAGCTCCTTCACCTTGTCCACGTGCTCCTGCTTCTCCTCCTCCACCACTTTCTGCAAAAAGAGGAGGAAGGAGGAAGACAACCACGTCAAAAGGGATCTCCAAAGGGGGAGCAAAGGGAGATGCTGCTCCCTCAGCACGGAGCAGCACCCTGGGGGATGTGGGGGATGTGGGGACAGGCCCAGGTGTGCCCCATGCCCTCACCTCCTCCTCCTCCAGGCGCCGCAGAGCGTCGCTGATGTACTTCACGTGCTGGGTGGTCAGAGTCACCAGGGCCGTATAACGAGTCCTCAAATCCATGAACTGCCAAGGGACAGAGGGGAGAACAGAGGGAAAAGGGAGTGCATCAGTCCTGCTGGCAGATCCAGAGCGTCACCCTTCACAGTGCATGACATGGATGAGGCACCTCTGGCTCAGGAGCCCCCCAGGGCACCTGGCAGAGCCGGGATGGCACCGATGGAATGCAGCCAGTCTGCTGGGGAGGGTGGTGGTGGCCACACAAGGCATGCTGCACGACACTGGAGCGAGGGGACACTCCTGCCACGGACACTGGGGCGGGTGCTCGACTCTTACAGAGGGCTGCTGGGATCTCTGATATATCCACACAGAGCAGACAGGAGCTCGGGGCCCTAAACGGTTCTCATCCCAAAGATGCACACACAGCAACACTGCATGGTGCTCTGGTTATTTACCTCGAGCAAGGCTGAAGGGCTGAGCCGACCCTGCTGGATTTGACCCAGGGGTTCCCAGGAGTCAAGGTATGGCATACCTGGTGCTTAGGGCACTAAGCCATCCTCTCTGGCTATTGGAAAAAACAGCGAGGGTGGAAACTTTATTTATACAAGAGAGTTCAGCAGGAAGGAGCTCATTTCACAGAGGCTGCTGGGTGGTTTTGCTGGGCGTGGAAGAACACCCCAAAATTTTCCCCCTGCTGAGCTGAGGTGCGTTCCTACCTCCTGGGTGATGGCATCTGAGGAGGAGAGCATCCGCCGGCGCTTCATGGGCGACTTCTGCTGCGACTCCACGAAGGCCCTGTAGGTCATCAGCTGCAGCTCATAGTCCTGAAAAGGTGGGGAGATGTGGAGCCTGTGAGAGCTGCAAACTCTGCCAGGGCTGCTCCTGCCCAGCCCACCCCAGCCAGGAGCTGTACCTTGACAGCAGCCGAGTACTGCTGGGAGAATTTCTGACACTGGTCCAGCTTGGCTTGGTTTTTCTCAATTTCTGCAGCCAAAGCCTTCAAGGAAATTCAAAGTAAAAATGGTTGTCAGAATAGATTGGCTGAGTTGCTGCCCAGAGAAGATGTGGATGCCCCAACCCTGGAAGTGTTCAGGGTCAGGCTGGACTGAGCTTGGAGCAATCTGGGATAGTGGAAGGTGTCCTTGCCCGTGGGAGGAGGATGGAAACAAGACAATTCTGGAGATCCCTTCCAACCCAACCTTTCTAGGATCCTCTGACAGCAGCCATGGGGACGCGAGCAGAATTCTGGTTCACATCCCCGCACTTTTGGGTAAAATCTTTACACTCTCCAATTTTTCACACAAGACCTCATCTGCACCTTGAGCCAAGCAGAGCTCCTCCACTTCCCAGACACCCAGCTCAGGCCTGCAGCCCCTTCCCTGCTGCTGCTTTTCACATTCCCAAGCTCAGAGATGAAAAGAAGTGACACGGTCACGGCAGCAAGGAGACATCACGAGGTCCTGCCTCACCGTTTGCTGACTGAGCTGCTCCGACAGCACCCGGCTGTCCTCAGCCTGGCCAGGCTTCATCAGCTCCTGCTGGGCTGTGATCTCCTCAATCCACTGGATCAGGGCGCTGTGGCACTGCCGGTAATCGCTCAGCACCTCCTGGATGCTCTCCAGCTCCGTGTGGCTGAGAGGAAAAACCACCACAGGTAAGAGGAGAGGGGGCTGAAATCCCAGCAGGGAAAATTTCACCTCCACCATGCCTGACCCAAGGTGTCAGCTGAAGGGTGAGAGTCAGTGTGGCAGGGGAGGGAGGAGGTGCCTCACCGGGTCTCGATCTGGGCGCACACTCGCTGCCAGCGGTCCCACAGCTGGCTCCCCTTCTCCTGGAAGCGCTCCAGGTCGATGCTGCGCTCCTGCCTCAGCCTGAACAGCTGCTCCCCCACCTCCTTTGCCTTCGCCATCTCCTCTTCCAGCGTGGAGAACACTGAGCCCTTGTCCTTCACCTCCCCGAGCCATTGCTGCAAAAGGAGACAGCACTGGGTCAGTGTCACTGAAGGCAGAAGGGACCAAGCCAGAGATGTCCTCCCAGCCAGAGGTGACACAGCTGGGAAGGGATTAATGGGTTTATTTTCCCCGTCTCCTTAACCTGCAAAGAACTGGGAGGTGTAGAATGAAGGGGAACATGCTCCCAGGTCAGATTGGTGCAGGTCATACCCTACAGCAGCAGACAGAGCACAAGCCACAGCACCTCCTCTGCTCTCACAAAGCAATCAGGGCTCTCAGATCAGCAGCACAAAACCCTCTAATAAAAATGTATCAAGGCAAGAAAAACGTCCCACAGTCCAAATTCAGCAGAAAAAAATTTGCTCCTAGTCCTAAACACATTCATACTCTTAACAGTAACAACACTCTCCACCCCCATCCTATTTCCACTTGTATCCAACAACCTCAAGAACACCCCAACACAATTACAAACACAGCCAAAACCTCCTTCTTAATCACCAACCTGCAGGGCTGTCCTGTGGGTCTGAATGGCTGCCAGGTCAGCAGGAACAGCCTCCTCCTGGCTCAGCTTCACCTCGTAGCCTTTGACCAGGGACTCTGCTCCTTGGGTGCTGCGGATAATGATGTCAACCGTCTTCAACCTGGCAAATCAAACAGAACACAGTGGCATCATCCCAGGCGTGGCACAGATCTGGAGGCTGCACCACGTGCTGCAGGGGGATGGATTCAGCTACATCCACCACAAGGTGTGTTGGAGGGGCAGAATAAGGCCTTTAGTGAACTGGGAACACTCAAAAGGGTGTTTGGGAACAGAGGCACGTCCCCAACTCACTTTTCCAGGTAGATGGAAGAGAGCCCGTGTGTCTGCTCCATCTTGTTCACCACCAAGTCCAGCTCTGAGCGCAGGTGGGGCGTGCTGGGCCCTGCAGGAGCTTTGTCCAGGAAGCTGTAGCACCTCTCAGACACAACCCGGAGCTCTGACTGCAGCTGCTGCAGATCCTCCTGTGTGCGCTGCACGGGAGAGACAGCGTGAAAGGAGAGCCCAAAGAGGCAGGGAAAAAGGGAAACAGGCAGGGAAAACAGACAGGCAGACAGGGAAACAAATGGGCAGGGGAAAAGGGAAACGGGCAGGGGAAAAGGGAAACGGGCAGGGGAAAAGGGAAACGGGCAGGGGAAAAGGGAAACGGGCAGGGGAAAAGGGAAACGGGCAGGGGAAAAGGGAAACGGGCAGGGGAAAAGGGAAACGGGCAGGGGAAAAGGGAAACGGGCAGGGGAAAAAAGCAGGAGAAAAAAGCAGGAGAAAAAAGCAGGAGAAAAAAAACAGGGAAAAAAAACAGGGAAAAAAAACAGGGAAAAAAAACCGGGGAAAAAAAAACGGGGAAAAAAAAACGGGGAAAAAAAAACGGGGAAAAAAAAACGGGGAAAAAAAAACGGGGAAAAAAAAACAGGGGAAAAAAAAACAGGGAAAAAAAAACAGGGAAAAAAAAACAGGGAAAAAAAAACAGGGGAAAAAAAACAGGGGAAAAAAAACAGGGGAAAAAAAAACAGGGAAAAAAAAACAGGGAAAAAAAAACAGGGAAAAAAAAACAGGGAAAAAAAAACAGGATTGCCCTTGGCCAAGGAGCTGTCAGGAAATGAAGCAGGCTGCCCACCTGCTGAGCTTCCCTGCTGCCTTCTGCACAGCCGGATTCCCTCAAAACCCCAAGATTCCCTCAAAACCCCAAGATCCCCTCACCCACAGAGGAGCCACAGCTGTTTTTGGGTGCGTGTCCCTGTCAGCCCTCCCCTGCCCAGCTGCCAGCCTGACCTCCTGCTCTGCCATGCGCAGGGTGTTCTCCTGGATGGTGTCCCCGTCTGCCCGGGCGCCGCTCGGGGCCTGGATGCGGCTCACGAGCCGCTGCTCGCACTCCTCCAGCCGCAGGCGGATGTTCTTCAGCTCAGACAGGTACGTCCTGGCAACGGTCTCATCCTTGTCCTCTGCAAGGCAGAGACACACAGAACAGCAGCTCAAGCAGTGCTGGGTCAGTAGCTGTCCCAAACAGGACCTGCTGGAATGCCCAGAGCTGAGTGCAGCCTCTGAGCATCTCTGCTCAGGTAGAAACACCTTAATTGGACACCTCCATTTCTGAGCTCAGGTGGAAAACACCTGAATTAAATCATTAAATCATCTCCTTCTGGAAGTGAGTCCAGCCACAGGACCGGAGTCTTGGCTCCTGGTGGGACTCACGGTGTCACAAGTGCCACCACCACGTGTATTATCCCAAAGACTAACTACAGGAAGAGCTCCTTGCTTGGAATGCATCCCCTCTGCCAACGCTACAAGGGGAAGAGGACTCAGCAGCCCAGCTGAAGCTGCAAAGCCAAGGCCTCTCTGCAGAAGCAGTGCTGGACAAAGGCCGAACACTTGGATGGATAGATGGAGGAATAATGAGAGCAGCTGCTCACACCATCAACCAGCTAGCTCAGGAAAAGGAGACCACGAAGCCATCCCATAAATCCTTTGTGTATGAGCTCCCACAGCTCCTGGTTAAAGCATCAGGCCCTTTGAAGCTCACCGTTCTCCATGGACTCCAGCAGCTGCCGGATGTGTTCCTTGGAAGACTCCACTTCCTCCTCCAGGCGCAGCCGGTCCGACACGGAGAAGAGCTCTGAGTCCCGGCTGTCCTGCAGGAAATCCTCGTAGTGGCCCTGCAGGCTCTTCAGGGCTTGCTGACACTCCCCTTGAGCCAAGGATCTCAGCTGTGAGTGGAAAAAGAGGCACGTCCAAACATCAGGAACAACATCCTGCATGCCAACTGAACCGCCTTCATCTGCCCCAGGGGTATTTTCAGAGGGGGAGAGGTAAATCCTCCATGCCTCCCCCCAGCCATGCTCACTCCCTAATGAAATGTTCAATCCACAATCTCTCAGCAGCAGCAAACTCCTAATGCTCTTTTTACTGGGAAAAGCTGCAATCCTTTTGCACAGCACCCTCAAGCTCAGGTTTTCAAGGTGTAAACTGTTCCCCTTTTCCCTATAGCTGTAAACTGTGACCCTTTTCCAGGTGTGCGCTGTTCCAGGTGTAAAGACCCTTGATTTCCCCACTCCCTGGTTTTCCCCTCTCTTTGGCCACACAGAGAAGCCTGGAGAGCAGCACAACCCCAGAACCAGGCAGGGAAGTTCCTCTGTACCTTTTCCATGCTGAAGCTCTGCACCAGGGCTATGTCCTTCCTCAGGTAGTTCCAGGAGATGAGGCTCTTTGTGTTCATGTGCAGCTGGTGCCAGAGAGCCATCACTTTCTGGTACAGCTGCTCCACCCTGCAAGGGGAAAGGAGCAGCTCCATCAGCCCTGGATCTTCCCAGCAAACCCAGCCCTGACCCTGCTAATCCTCCAGCCATCACTGGCAGAGAGCAGCCCATCAGCCCAGTGACCCCAGTCTGGCACCACACAGGGAGTGATGCTCCTGCTGTTCAGTGCCAGAGATCCCCGGGGGGATCCCTCCTCCCAAATTGTCATTTTTTTCATTTTGCAAGCTACAGCAGCAGTCTCTGCAATGGAGGTTGCAGCTGTAGAACCATGAGGGATTCCTTTCCTCACCACAAACCACCTTCACACCTCCATCCCCACCATCCCATCTCTGTGACTGTCACCAAGTTACCTGTTGGCCATCTCGATGGCCTCTTTGTTGGGTGGGGGGATCAGGAAGCAGACAGAAGGCACCATGGCCTCATTCCCTGTGGGGCTGATCACCTTCCACTTGGTCCTCTGGGAATTGTCCTCCAGGACACACTCGTCGTTCCTGCAGATGGTGATCTGCGACAGCACCGGCACCAGGAGCCCATCAGAAACCAGCAGCAGGGCTGTGCACGCCTGTCCCTGCTACCAGCCCCTCTCCTGGGGGTGAGCCAGCTCCCAGAAATCCACAGATGGATGTGTTTTAATGGAGCAGCAGCCTGGAACGGCGCCAGGCAGTGCGGCACGCTCGTGCCGGGAGAGGAAGGGACAGGGAAGTCACAGGGAGGAGCTGCTGCCACCCACGGGCTTGTTTGGCTCAGCCTGATGAAGCCCATCCTCCTTGGAAGGGGAAAGGACTCCAGCTCCTGCCCAGAATAAATCTGAGACGTGGAAATCTGCTCCAGGAAAAACATCCCTGCTGTTTCCCTCCCCCTGTCTTCCCACTCCTGCTTTCCACTGACAGATCCTACAGCTCTCATCCTAAACCACCCCGGGTGTCACTCCCTTGTCCCTGCCTTCCCTTCCCGAGTGCCACCTGCACCCTGGCAGCCCTCACCTCGATCTGCCTGTAGTCACAGACAGCCTTGATGGGGATGGTGCTCTTCACAGCGTGCTCTGGGTTCCTGGGCCGGAGCTGGACGATGCTTTTGGACCGTCCCACCAGGCTGGCAACGGAGCTCTTGGACTGGATCAGCTGCTCCTTCTCATCCTGGCAGGGACAAGGAGGATGGGCTGCTCAAGGGTGGTGAGGGGAGGCCTGTGCCAGGCAGCTCAGCTCGCCCCCCACCCCAGTGCTGGCCTGCAAGGGCTGAGCAAACACCTCAGGAGATCCTGCTGCCCTGGCAGGGTGGGAAGAGGAGATGGGATGGGACATCACTGCTACTCCCACTGCCCTGCAAAGCCACATGCACACCTCTGCCTCTCTGGCTGGTAGGACAAGAATATGTTTTCTTTCAAAAGGGAAAACAAAAAAAACACAACATCCACCAAAACAAAGTCCCAGGAGCTGTGAGGGGCTGAGAGCAGGACAATGTCCAGCCCAAAGCTGGGGATGTTTGGCTGCCTGCAAGAGAGCCCAGGGAAGCATGCTCCCTCTCTAAAGCAAAGGATGAAAGGGTGTTTAAACCAACGGCTGGAATGGGAGATGATGAATTATGGGGATCAAACATCTCAGGAGAAGGGGCTCAGGGTGGAGCGATCGCACAGGCCTCTGGCTTTGGGGAGAAATCCGCCAGCTGCAGGAAATTTTATTCCTACAAATCCCTGCTGGGTGAGGTGATGGTGCCAACCCAGGGGGGAATGGTGGCAAAGCTCCCCTGGAACAGCCTCTGGAGACATGTGCAGATCACAACACTGGCAGCTCATGTGAGTAGTGACAGCTCAGCCCCTGCTGGCTGCGGCAAAGGTTTCAAAACAAAGGATCCCAGAAAAGGTTCTCCCTCATGCTTGGTACTCTGGGGTTGGTTAGTGTGCTAAAACAGTGGAGGAGAATTTAATGGTTAAAAAAAATAAAATTAAATAAAATTAAAATAAAAGAATAAATGATTAAATAAACTACCTGTGCCTGTCTCCCAGGGAGCATGATTGGAAGAAATACAACTTTCACTTATTAGGTAAGAAAGAGTAATATAGCTGAGCTCAGGGCAGCTGCCCCAGTCCTGGGTTTGTGGCCACTCTCTGGCTGCCCAGAACAGCCTCTCCCACCCCAGATGTGCCAGGGCTCCCAAACACAGACCCTGGGAGCCAGCCTGGCTGCTCCAGGTCCTGGCAGCACCAGAGACAGGCCAGGACAACCCTGAGAGAGGATGGGGGAGCCCCCAGGCCTCCAGGAGAGAAGCCAGTGCTGATGCACCCATCACCCCCAGTAAGGGCACCCCAGTGCCACTGGGGACAGCCTGCTGTGCCCTTCTTGGTGACCACCTGCCTCCACACTCTCAGTGTCACCTCCTGACCCTGCCACCACAGCTCAGCACTTCAGCCACAGCCCAAATCCTCCCCTGACCCTGCTGCCCAACACCAGCTGATGCTTTGCTCCTTGGGGGTTGTTTTTAGGTTGGTTTTTTTTCAGGCCAAATCAGGCAAGAAGGTGACAGTGCCACGGCCTGGGCTCTGCTCTGCTCAGCTAAGCCAGGCCACGTGTTCAGAGATCAGCCCCTGGCACAGCCAGGCTGCCCTGGCTCTCCCCCCATCCAGCAGCATGGATTAACACAGGATTTGGGCTGGATAAAGAGCAGGCATTTCTCCACCAGCTCCAAAAAGCAGAACCAGGAGCATCCTCGAGGCCCTGCCTTGGTCAGCAGGACTCCAGCAGGATGGGCACGGCTGGGGCAGGAGCAGCCCAGGTTGTGATCTTGCACAGCCTGCTCCTCACCCTGAGGACACACAGAGGTCAGATGGTGCCTCCAAATGACAGTGGCCAACCCCAGCTACACCACACAGCTGTGGCCAGCCCAGCCTGCAGCTCATTCAGCAGCTCCAAGGGCAAGCAAATCACTGCCTGAGGTGGAACACAAACCACATCCCACCAAACCGTGGGGATACAGAGCTCAGCTCTCCCTGGGGAGCAAAGAGGTGTCCCAGGCAGCCAGAGCAGGGTGCTGGGTGTCAGAGAACCCACCATGGAGTCCTGCAGGAGGTCCTCCAGCCGCGTCAGGCTCGTGTTGTGGTCGCAGGAATATTTCCTTTTGATGGAGTCCTGCAGGTTCCGCAGGTACGCCTCCGACTCCCGGGCGTCGCTGAAGAACTGCCAAAGCAAAAAGGGTCACAGGGGCCTGGGCAAGCCCCCTGAGCAGCCTGGAGACAGCCAAGGAGCACCCCAAAGGCTCAGCCAGCAGCTCCTGACACTGCTCTCCGGCTTTAGGGCGGCAAGGGTAGGACCATCCCACGTGGATGAGCAGAACTACAGGGAATTGTTGATCCCTTTTTCCCCTAGAAATGCCCAGGGAGCAGCTAAACAGATATTCCAGAGGAAAAAAAAAATCCCTTCTTCCTCTCCATCAAGGACAACAGCAGTGTGAGGAGCTCATGGAGTGGGATTCAGCAGATGGGACTGAGGGAATCTGGCCCCAAATACCTGGAAATAGGCAGCGTTCTCCTTGACGTGCTGCTCCACGCACAGGCAGAGCTGCTTGATCCACTGCCACTGGGTGTGCACAGCAGCACTGTAGGCCTGTGGAAAACACAGGAAAAGGCACTGGAACAGGGAGCTGACAGCCAGGAGGGAAACAGCAAGGATACAGGAGCCTGAGGGAGGGACAGAAATGACCAAAATCTGACCACAGCCAGGAGGGTTTGGACACAGGAGATGGCAGACCCTGTCTCAGTGTCCCCATGTCACCCACAATGCCAGAGACAGGAACAGTTTTGCTTTTACCCCATGGAAAAGGTTCCCACAGCCCTTTGCTTCACCACCACAGTGTCCCTGCAAGCCTGGATGACCCCAGGGCAGCCAAGGCCATTCTCTCCATCACCTCTTTGTGGGAAAGGCTCATGCTCTGTGTGTTTGTGTCCTAATTTGAGGTGGCGATTATTTGGGAACGGCCACTTCCCAAAATCCCAAAATTAAGAAGCTCTACCACTGCACTGATGTCCTGCCACCATAAAACACCTCATCAGGCACTGTGGGGTGAGGCAGTGAGTCTTTTAATTCCATCTGAGGTGATCTGACCCTTGGGAACCCCACAGCTCTGCCAGGCTCATTCTCTGTTTGTTTGTGTCCTAATTTGAGGTGGCGATTATTTGGGAATGGCCACTTCCCAAAATCCCAAAATTAAGAAGCTCTACCACTGCCCTGATGTCCTGCCACCACAAAACACCTCACCAGGCACCGTGGGGTGAGGCAGTGACTCTCCCAGTTCCAGCTGAGGTGATTTGAGCCTTGGGAACCCCCCAGGTTCCTGCTCACCTCCACGGTTTGCTTGGCCGGGTGGTTCTCCAGGGAGAGCAGCTCAGCCGTGTCCTGGAGGGAACGGAAGATGTCCTGCTTCTCTTCCAGCTCTGCTGTCAGCTCCTGCAGGAGGGAAAGCCCAAACCTCAGCCCTGGGACCTCACTCAGACCATGTGTCCAACTAACACAGCGTGGAAGCTCTAAAGGAGGTACCGGTGGATGCCAGGGAATCCAGCACGGCACCACAGCCCCGTTCCCTACAGGAATCTGCCTCCTGTGCTCCAAACAGGCTCTGGAAACCTGCCCAGGGACCTCTTCAGCTTCACACAGTGATTGTGGAAAGATGGGAATTTGTTTATACTGCTGTAAAGAGGAATCAATTTTCCTCTTTGGCTCAGACTTACCCCCCTCGCCCCCGCTAGTTCAAGATGCCTTGAGCTCTAAAATAATGCTAAAAATACATCTTTTGATACCTCTTTGATTGCAATTCAATTGAACAACACATTCATTTCATTTTCTGCTCTGGGGAGAGCTTCCATCAGCTCTGTTCAGGCACAACAAGCTCAGGGAGCTGGGAGGGAGCATCCAGCCTCAGGATTTCGGGTCTGTTGGGAGCTGAGGGCTCCACAGAGGACCAAAAGCAGCACCTGCCCTCCCAGCACTCACTGAGAAGTAATTCTTCTTGGCTGCAATGTTGGGGTTGTTGTCACTCCAGTCGTAGGCCAGTTCCTCCTCCTCCTTCTCATTCAGCCAGATCAGCTCAGCAGTGGCCCTGGACACGAATCCATGCAGGCTCTGCAGGTGCCTCAGCCTGAAGCTGGAGGTTTCCTGGACACCAAGAATGGTTTATTATTCCTCCTCCCTGCTCTGTTCTGATGGTTTTTTTTCCCCCTCTCCCTACCCTAGGAGCAGGGAGGGCCCCCAGACTCACCATCAGTTTGCAGTACTGAGTCTCCAGCTTGCCCAGTGTCTCTGTGTAGCTGGCACGGAAATTCGGAGACATTTTGCCCTGAAGGATGAGAAATGCTCCTGTTACCCTTCACAGGACAGGATCACCCAGAAACCCATCCCCAAATCTTTCTCCACAGCTCTGCATGAGGATGGAGAGGGTGGAGAGGATGGCTCAGGGCAGCACTGCATCAATTTAGAAGCTCCGGCCTTAAAAATCCTCTGTCCCAGGAAAGTGACCCACAAGAGCTGATCCCAATGCCCTCGTTTCCCATGCCTGGTGTCCCCCACCATACCTCATACATCCTGGCCTCCTTCACGCTGGAGCCCAGGTCCTCCACGCTGGCGTGGATGTGCCTCTGGGTCTCCAGCTGGGATTCCACACTTGGCAGGTCAGTGCCCCACTCTGCCCGCTCCAGCCTCATCTGAAACCAAGAGGCTCAGGTCAGCACTGCTCATTCTGCTCGCAAAGGGACACCAGGAATCTTCCCAGGTCACTCCAGAGGGAACAAACACCTCCCAGTCTTGGTAGAAGATCCTAAGCCAGTGCTCCAACTCTGAATATTTCTGGGACAGCCTACACAAGGTTCCCACCCACGTGGGAAAGTGACTGCATCAGCACAGATCTGCTTCCAGCCTTGAAAGGCTCCTCTGGTCCCCACTGGCCAGCAGAATCACAAGAGAGAAAACCCAGCTCCAGCTTTGAGAGGCTCCTGTGATCCCCACTGGCCAGCAGGACCACAAGAGAGAAATCCCAGATCCAGCTTTGAAAGGCTCCTCTGGTCCCCACTGGCCAGCAGGACCACAAGAGAGAAAACCCAGCTCCAGACAGAAGCCTCAGATCTCCAAAAACTACAAACCACCAAAGCAACTATTCACAGATAAAGGCAGGAAAAGGCCTGGGGGCAGCTTCCCACATCAGCCTGAGCACAGGCAGGAGGTTTGGCCCAGCATCTCCTCACCTGCATCTCCTCCACCCAGGCCAGCAGCTCGTAGACGAAGCGAAGGCTGCCTTCATCTTCAGAGGAGGAGATGGCCACCAGCTCTGTCCTGGTCATGGGCTTCCTGAACCAGGAGGCCGAGGAGGTGTGGAGCCCCTTGGTCAGGGACTCGCCCTTCAGGTGTGTCGTGCTCAGTGTGGACGTGGGCACCAGCTCCAGGGTGGAGAAATGGCCCTTCCTGTACAGGTTGGTGCACTCCAACCTCAGCGTCACCAGCTCGTCCTGCAGCCTCATGATCCTGGGGAAGCAAGCAAGGAGTGGGTAAGGATGGGAATGTGTCACAGAGCGACAGAACTCTCCTTGGTCTCCTTGAAAAGGAAATAAACCCAGAAGTTTCTCGCCTCCATTAGATAAAGACACCTCGCAGCACCTGGGGGGACTTCACCTCAAACTTAAGGGTGGCCAATTGGACAGGAGCCAAAAAGTCCCACCTGAGCAATTTAGGAGAAAAAGAAGAGCACAAATAAACTAATTGCTTTTGTGAGGTGTTTTACCAAGAACAAGAACCTCTTGCACCTGGCTCAGTATTTCTCTGTAAAGAGTTTTGTTATTTTGCCTTTTAATAAAACTTTTTTGTTTCCAACACTACCACAGAAGCCATCCTGCTGATTTTATTCCTTCTAAGGCAGCTGAGCTATCTTGGGTGTGAAATAAATCTCCAAGAGCTTATGAGACCTGGCTCGAGGAGACCATAGATCAGGTAAGGAGATGGACACGTGTGTCACCATGATATTTTCTGAAAAATCCCTTTGCCAGGATTTTCCTCCTGAGAAGCTGAGAAGCCTCAGAAAAAAAAAAAAAAAAGTAAACAATAATTACCTGATTGCTTGGAATGTGGTTTGGGGGTTGCTCACCAATAAGTACATTTTGGATTGGTTCCATGTGAATTGTTTTAATTTAATAAACAACCCCTGTCCAGCTGTGTCAGACTCTCTGAGTCTGTCATGGGTTTTTATTATCATTCTTGTCTAAACTTTTGAGGTCTCCTTTCTCTTTCTTTAGTATAGTTTTAGTATATCATTTTCTTTTAATATAATATAATATAATATCATAAAATAAAATAACAAATCAGCCTTCTGACAACTTGGGAGTCAATTCTCATCTCTCACCTCATCCTGAGAAGCCTCAGAAAAAAAACTTAAACAACAATTACCTGATTGCTTGGAATGTGATTTGGGGGTTGCCTACCAACAAGTGCATTTTGGATTGGTTCCATGTGAATTGTTTAAACTTAATAACCAATCCCAGTCCAGCTGTATCAGGACTCTGATCAGTCACAAGTTTTTATTATCATTCTTGCCTAAACTTCTGATGTCTCCTTTCTCTTTCTTTAGTATAGCTTTAATATATCAATATAATATAATATAATATAATATAAATATAATATAATATAATATAAATATAATAGAATATAATATAATATATCATAAAATAACAAATCAGCCTTCTGATTTGTTATTTTATGATATGATATGATATGGAGTCAATTCTCATCTCTCACTTCATCCTGGGGACCCTCAAAACACCGCAGCAATCGGTGACCACACACGTGCCCCACACAGAGGGGCTGTGCAGCCCCTGAGGGGCTGTGCCCTACACAGAGGGGCTGTGCAGGCCCTGAGGAAGCTTCTCAAGGTCACCTGAACACCAGCTCCTCCAGCTGGTAGTAGTTCTCGTCGCGGAGGATCTGCACGTCCACCTGGAGCTGGCGGATGAGCCCCTCGCTCTCCTGCAGGAACGCCACCACGTCCGCCTCGTGCTGCACCGGCTGGCCTGCCTCCAGGTGAGCAGCATCCTGAGGGCACAGGGGACACTCAGGATGAGTCCCCTCAGCCCTGAGTGGGGCTGAGAGGCACAGGGTGCTGGGTCACAGCATCCCCTGCCACGTCCTTCTCCGCACCCTTCCCTTTTCCCCCAACGTGGAGCTGCTCCATGGCTGGAGGTCAGAGAGCTCCTCTCCAAGTGTTTTCCTGCCTCTTAAGTTGGTTTTTTTATGATCCAGATGGAGCTGCCCTGCCACACCTGCAGCCCCAACAAGAGATATTGGTGGTGGTCTGTTACGGACACATTTTCATGAAAAATCTTTTTGTTAGGATTTTTTTCTCCTGAGAAGCTGAGAGGTCTTAGAAACAAAATGTAAACAATGATTTTCTGCTGCTGTGGAATGCAACAGAGGTACTTTCATTGGTCTCATGTGGTTGTTTTTAATTAATGGCCAATCACAGTCCAGCTGTCTCAGACTCTCTAATCAATCACAAAATTTTACTATCATTCCATTCCTTTCCTTTCAAGCCTTCTGATGAAATCCTTTCCTCTATTCTTTAGTGTAGTTTTAATAAATCATTTTCTTTTAATATAATATGTATCATAAAATAATAAATCAGCCTTCTGAAACATGGAGTCAAGATTCTCATCCCAAGAGCCCTGTAAACACCACCACAGTGGTCCCTTCTCACTGCCCACCCTGGGTGCTGCTGGGTGGCAGTGACCATTCCAGAAGCCCCATGTGTCTGAGAGTGCTGGGGCTCCTGGTATCTCTTTTCTCCTATAACAAAGAAAATCTCTTCAGAAACCTGTTCCCCACCCAGGGTCTGCCACTGAGTCTTTTCCACCAGGCAAATAAAACAGATTTTGGGGGTTTTAAGCCTCATTATACAACAAAAAAATATTCAACAAGCTGTTCCAGAAGTGCTGTTCTCCTCCACACCAGCACCTCTGCAGATGTCCAGCCCCACTTACTGCATTCCCAGAGACAAGACCATTCCCCATCCCTGTCCTCAGGGTGATCTGTGGATCACCAGATATCTGCCACCACCCCTACAGCACCTCAAGGGCAGAAAAGAAAGGAAAACGTTCCAGGGGGAACCCACCACGCCAGGCAGAAGAGAGGAGAGGAGATGGACACAAAACAAGAGCAGGAAAACAAACAAATCAATAAAATCAGGAGGGGCAAACCCCACTCCCCACTCACAGCCTGTAGCGTGTTCTTCGCCAGGGTGAGCTTTTCTTCACAGCTCAGAGCACCATTCTGGATTTTGTTAGCGATTTGTAGCAGCAATTCCAGCCTGGAATGACAGAGGGAGGTGAGAGAGGGGTTTTGGAAGAGGAAGGAGCAGGGGATGTCCCTGCCAGGGGCACAGCACCCACCTCTCCACCGCCGGCCGCAGGAGCTTCTCACGCTCCAGCATCTCAATGATGAGCTTGCCCCACTCCTCCTCCACATCGTTGGGGTGGTAGCCCTGGGGCAGCTTGATGCGTCCAAATTCAATCCAAACCTGAGGGAAACATCAGCAGAATTGCATTTCTGCTGGGAATTACAGCAAGGGAAGAGGGGCTCTGCCTGCGCTCCTGCAGCGAGCTGCTCACTGCCTGGTTTATCCTGAGAGGTGTTCCCACTTCTCCACTCCAAAATAAACCTGAACTGAGCACAGTTCAGTCTTGCTGAAAAAGCACAGCATTCCCACCTACCAGCCTCTGGGCAGCCAGGATGATCCTTACCTCTAGCAGTTTGTAGAGCTCCTCTATCTGTCCTTTTTCCTGCTCCTTTGCTGGGATTTCAGTTTCTTTGAAGTGTATGTACTGGTTATAAAGTGCCTGGGATGAGAAAGGCTCATCAGGAACCACCCTGGGGATTGCCACCACCCATCCCTCAGCACTGGACACGGCACACACTGAGGAGAGACCTTGTCCAGGACCTACCTTTAGCTCTACAGGGTTCTGGGGGAAGGATTTGTCTGACATGAGTATCGTGTGCTGCTTGATCCACGAGATGAGGGACTCCACACGGGTCTGGTACTCCAGCCACCTCGAATCCACCTCCTGTGGGGCGAGAGTGTCTTTGCCAGCACTGCTGGTGGGCAAATCACAGGGAACTGAGGTGCTACAGACAAGCTACAGGGTGGACTGTGTGCCAGGGCTTTCCTGCTGTGATGCCATCCCAGGTACAGAGAGGAAGAGGAGGATCCTCCTTGCCAGTTGCTCTCTCCAAGCTCAGCTTTTTTCCTCCAGAGCCTGGGCAGTGCTGTGGCTTTACAGACACCCCAGCAGTTCATAGGGCAGACACCATAATGGGGTCATCCTCCCTCTCCTCAGCCCTCTTCCACAGGGAACAGACCCTTCCCCAAACCCTGCCCACAACCCCCAGCTGCCTCCCAAAAGGCTGTCCCAGCCTCCCAGCCCTCAGCAGTGCTTACAATGGCGCTGATCCCTTCTCCTCCCTCAGGGACTTTGGGAAAGGCATCGTAGATTGAAGACACGTAAGTTATCACAGATTTCTCATCTGGAGAGGGAACGTCCACATCTGGCAGGAGAGAATCAGAAAGGCAGTGAGGAAAGGGAGTGGGAAGAGAAGCTGGCATGTCCCTGCACTGGTCTCATGCCCTGGGCCCCCACCTTCAGCATCCAGCAGCCGTGTGACCCCCAGGCGCTCGGCGATCTCAAAGGCCTGCTCCAGGTTCTCCCGGTTGCTCTGGATCTGCACCCTCTCCATGTCCACCAGATCTGGCCTGCAAGACACGCCCCAGAGTCACAACCAGCACCAGGTGGCCAGGGCAGAGCGTCCTGGGTGGGCATCACTGCCGTGGGTGGCTCCCAGGGTTGGTCTGAGCTCCTGTTCCAGGGTGAGGCTCTCCAAGGGGACTGGGCTGCAGCACTTCCCTGGCTCATCCCCCTTGGGAAGGGGGGTTCAGGCTGCAAAGAAAAACCTCTTGGTGCCAGCTGGGGAAGAAGGAATCAAGAGAGGATTAACTGCTGCTTGGGAGACCTCCAAGATCCTTGGATAAAAGCATGGATGGAAGTGCTGCTGTTCATGGAGAGCAAAAGGGCAGCACTGCAACACTCAAGAGAGTTTTAAAGCTTTTCATTTCTGCCTCTCTCCCCAACCTCAACAAGATTTTTTTTCCCTGATGTATCTTTTGCTCATTCCAAGCATCCCCCCCTCCACAGCTACCTGGCAGAAGAGAGAATTCCAGGTATAAAAGACATTCCTCCCTGCCACATCTCCAAGCAATCCAGCCCATCACTGACCACAGGGCACCACTGACCCCTGGGAGATCCTCATCCCTTCTCCCACCCTCATGACACTCCCACTGCTGCTTCCTGCCTACCTGTATCTGTGGATGAGGGCGTTGAACATCTTGCCATCGCTCCAGCAGGAGGAGAAGTTGGTGCACTTCAGCCCGATGTAACCTGCTGTCACCTTCTGTGTCCACAGCAGGAGCTTCTCCTTGGCTGACATATCCCCCAGCTCCCCACTGATGTAGATGTCAGAGATCTGTAAGGAAGCAGCACAGCCATGGGAGGATGCAGGAGCAGGGAAACCTCCTCCAGGCACATCCAGTTCCTGTGAACTTGCCCCAGACCTGGCTACCAGAAAGGGCAGGAGGCAACTTGTGGTCACCATGGGGAGAGGGGACCCTGTGGCCAAGGAACTTGGGAAGGGATCACAGGATCTGCACGGTGCTGTTTGGGCAGGCTGGAGATCCAAACAGGCAGAGCCAGACATTCTCTAAGCCCATTTCACAGGGCCACCAGGTGCTGCTTGGCCACACAGCCCAGCCCAGCCGGGACCCGAGCTGACACCACCAAACCCCAGCTCCCAACAACCACCAGAGCCACTCCCTCTGCACCATCCCTGTCCCCACAGACAGGGACACACCTCACTGGGAACACAATGTCCTGGAGAGAGGAGGCTCCAGGCAGGTCCCTTCCTGCCTCTCCCTGCTCCAAATACACCGTGCACCCTCCTGTACCCTCACTGCTCCTGCCCAGCACCCTCAGACACCCGGGGCTCCTGGAATGGTCTCTGCCACCCAGCAGCACCCAGGGTGGGCAAGGAGAAGGGATCACCACCAATATCTCTTGTTGGGGCTGCAGGTGTGGCAGGGGAGCTCCACCTGGAGCAGCCTGTTGTAAAAAGCACCAACTTAAGAAGCGGGAAAACACCTGGAGAGGAGCTCCCTGACCTCCAGCCATGGAGCAGCTCCACGTTGGGGGAAAAGGCAAGGAAGGGGAGAAGGATGTGACACCCCCCCTCTGCCTGGCTGGTGGCAGGGGGTGCTGTGACCCAGTTCCCAACAAAAGACGGCGACAGTCACGGACCCCTCAGACAGGACTGGCTGCGAATCCCAGACTGGCACGTGACACCACGCACGTGTCCCCGCATGCCAGCAAATTCCCGACTGGCACGGCTTCCTCCTCACCCTCCCCTCCCCAGCTCCCCACTCAGTACAATTACCTCCCCTTAATTAAGGGGAGGACAAAGGGGAGGGTGGGAGCCGCTCGGATTTAACAGGGTGCCCACAGAAAGGCAATGCTGGCTGTTTGCTTCCCGGATTCCTCCTCTCGGCATAGCAGGAGCAGGTGTGCCAGCACCCAGCCCTGGAAACACCCAAATCCCTCCCCAAAACACGCTCAGCTGGGTGCTGGCAGCGCTCGGGGCTGTCAGACATCCCTGAGCAGGCAGGAGACAGGGACCTGCGGGATTAGCGTCTGTCCCGCCCCGCCGGTGTCATTGGTATGCTGCAGCTCACCTCCCTCTCCAGCCTGACATGCTCATCACACATAAAACTGCTCTTTGTCAGCTGCTGCCACGCTGCTGGAGCTGCCTTTAACTCCTCCAGCCCCGGGGCTGCCTTTCCCCAGGGGTGTCGAAAACGGGCACCTGGTGGCAGAGCTGGGATGGGGATGGATGGGATCAGGTGCTGGGTGAGCAGCAGGATGGGACCCTCCACACCTCCAGGGAGGACCCACAAAGCTCCCTCTGCTCAGCACCCCTTTATTAATTACCTGATGGCTCTTAATTAAGAGCAGAATGAACCCTACTGTGAACCCACCCACCAGCTGTGCCCCACCCAGGGCTCTCCAGCAGTGCTGCCCATCCAGGAGCACCTCACAGCACCCTGATCTGATAAATCTTTTATTTTTAATCCCTGACACAGCACTGGGGGTCTCCAAGCACTGGGCCCGTTCCCTGAGAGCATCCTTGAGGGAAACTCTCCCAGAGATGTGCTTATGGAGGTGCAGGGTGTGGCACCAGCTCCACCCTCCTTTCTTCACATGTCTGTGACAGGACAAAGATTTAGGGAGGCACCAGCAAGAAAAGAGAGTGGAAACTCGCAGGACTTGGGGCCAAACCCTTCCAGCAACAGCTTTGTGCATCAAGCAACTGGTGGCACGATGCTGAAGGCCACATGGTGGCTGTGACAGTGGTCCCAACCTGACAAAGGCATCAGGGCCACAGCCCCTTGGACCATACACTTGTTCTGGGGCATTCACAGCTTGACCAGACCCAAGGGCACCTTTGCCCCACACTGTCACCCCCAAAACAGTGACCAGCAAGCAGCAACAGGCTCTGAAACACAGCACCAATCCCTCCTATTCCTCCTGGAGACCCCTCAGAGCAGGCAGAGCCCCCACATCTCCATGCTCATCCTGCTGCCATCCATCCTGCATGGGCAGCAGGAAGGGGACACCCCAAATTCACACCCTGAGGGCACGAGTGGCAGTGGTGACAGCAGCCACCAGCCGCACCCACGGGATCCAGGAGCTGTCACTCCCGGCCTGCCTGTGCCAGCAGCAGGGGACAGGACACCTCAGCCCCCAAGGGACACTTTCCCAGTGGAGATGCTGCAGGGGAAAAGCCTCAGGAGCTTTCTGCCCCTGCCACAGCACGAGACTGTCCCATTGCCGAAATGACCGTACCCAGGAGCCACCAAGATCTGGGGATCCCTGAGCCAGGTCCCCCCCACCCCGCTCCGGAAAGGGGGCTTGGGCACACTCACACACTGACCATTGCTCCGGCTGTCCCCGAGCTCCCCCTGCAAGCCCGGCCCTCCAGAGCGAGCCTGAGGCCACCATCGGAGGGTGACACCGTGGTCCCACCAGCTCCTGTGCCCTTGGCCGGCCGCTCGCTGCCGTACCCCGAGGAGCTCCGGGCCGCGCTGCCGCTGAAGGAGGAGGGGCTGCGGGAAGCCGCCAGCCCGGCACCGTCTCCCTCCGAGGGCAGCCCCGAGCTTCTCCCCACGCTGGGGTTTTCCAGCTGATCCACCATGGGGGACGGCGTGGACAGCTCGGACACGGTGCCCGGCTCTGCGGCGGAGGAGCAGGTCCAGGCGGCGCCGGAGCTGGGATCATCGCTGCCTCCTTTCCCCCACGCATCCCTGGCCGCCGGTTCCTGGCCGGGCACGGCGCTGGCCGGGGACAGGAGTGTCCCAGCACGGCCATCGGTCCCTGCGCGCAGCGGCAGCAGCACGGCCCGGCAGCTGCCGCTCCTCTGCAGCTCGACCAGGCGGCTCACCGCCTTCTCGCAGTCCCTCTCGGCCGGGTTCTCCAGCAGGCGGGCGATGACGGTGGTGCCTTCCTCCCGGGCAGCTCCCGCCACACCCGGCCGCTGCGGCTCCAGCACCAGGCGCGCTTTCTGCAGCTCGCCCTGGAAGCGCTCCTTCACCTGCACGATGATGCCGGGGTGCAGCGACCCCGCATCGGGGTCCCGGCTGCCGGAGGGCTCCTCCTCTCCTCCCTCCTGCCCTGGGGATGCCTTCGATTTGAGCGCCTCATCCTCATCCCCGGCCACCTCCAGCGCCGGCGGCTCCTCCTGCGGGGCTGCCTCGGGCATCGCTCTCCTCTTCCCTCTCCGCCTCCGTTTGAAGCGCACCCTTTTTTTGGGAGACAGCGGTGCCTTCCCCACAGCTTTTTCCTTCTGCTCTTTAACGCAGCCCAGCGAATTCCCCATCTCCTCCTGCTCGGTGCCGGCAGGAAGGCAGCTGAGCGAGTCGCCGGCTCCCGAATAAATCCCAACCCGGGCTTCATCGGATCAAACGCGGAGTTCCACCGAGTGCCCCTTGTCGCCGTCCCCTCCCGCCAGCCCTGCCGCCACCGCCGCCGCTCCAGACAGCCATCTTACAGCCTGGGCGCTGCGAGAAGACAAATTCAAAGCATCTCACTGCAGTTCAGAAATCACTTGACCTAAAAGCAGAGGGAGCGGGGATTGGCTGCGGCGTCCTTCTCTCCAAATATGAGGTAATTGGAGCACGGCCCTTGCCAACACAAACAGGGGAGCAGGAATCAGGCGGCGGAGCGAGGAGGGGAGAGCGGGAGAGGGTGGGGAAGACGGGGATAAAACACAGAACCTAAGGAAGGTTGGCAAAGGTAGAATAAAGGAAGGGGTGGGAGAGAAATGGGAAGGGAAAAAAAAAAAAAAAAAGCAGGGAGGAGTCAGAGTGACTCTGCATGCTCGCCAGCCGGCTCCGCAGGGCTGCTTCTCTCCAGTTCGGAAGGTTTGCTCCTTCATTCTTCATTCTTAATTCCGGGAGCCCCAAAAGCCCAACTCGTGTGCTCACTGTGCTGCCAGGCTCACCCAGTTTGGGGCACAGAGGTGCCCCGGGGACCCAGCATCGCTCCAGGGAGCTGCAGCCAGAGGGTCCCAGCAGGAACGGGAGGGTGATGCTGCCCAGCCCAGTCTGGCCCCGGTCCTGCCTCTCTCCTGTGGTTCCTGCCCCAAACGCCTCCCAGGGCAGGGGTTTGAGGGGCATGGAGCACCCCAGCTCTGCCTGCCAGCTCAGAGGGACCAGGGTAGGGTAACACGCACCAAAAATGGGGGGGAGACAAAAATTGGGGAGCAGGGGGCATAAAGATGGGGGGACTGAGCTCAGCCCCAGGAAGCAGGGAAACATTCAATGAGGAAATGCTCAACAAGGAAATGCTCAACACGGAGCAATCCAGAAGATGACTAAGGGAAACCAGTGAGCACAAGAGCTCTCGGGACATGAGGAAAAGCCCCCAGGGCACCAAGGCACCCTCCTCATCTTCACCACGCCAGAGCTGGCAGAGCCTGAGCTCCACAGCAGCACCATCCCATCCCCAAACCTCCTCTCTGGGGCTCTCCCAGCCGCCTGCCCCCAGGCAGCAGCACTGGGACACTAAGGGAGATTAAGAGGTTCACAATGGAGCTACAACCCCAGAAAAAATCCCGTTAGTGCAGCGGGAGCAGGACACACATGCTCGCAGCACCCGCCCCGCTCCCGTGTCACCCTCGCCAGGGTGGCAGTGTCCCCTCCCAGCCAGGCACGGAGGGCACCCAGGACCTCCTGATGTCCCTCTCCTGCAACAGAGGATGCACCAGGGCTGGTTGGCCACAAGGACAGCGGGGACAAGATGCCACAGCCAGGGCCCCACGGAGGAGATGACAGTGACTCATCAGCATCCAGAGCCTGACCCCTGGGAAGAGCCTCGTCAGCAGCCCCACACCCAGCTCAGCCCCAGGCTGCCACCAAAAGCCTCTCCCTGAGGCACTGCCCAGCCTCCAAAACATATAATCTTCCAGTGCAATCTTCCTTAAGAGTCTCACAGCCAGCACGAGTCCTGTCTGGAGGATGCCAGCAGGGATAAGGCAGGGAGCTGGGATACAGCAAATCCTACAGAGCTGATGCCACATGGCCAACGAGCTGCTGACAGCAGCACTGCCCAGCAAACCCCAAATGCCAACTCAGTGATGGGCACACATCACCCCCTGAGGCCATCAAACCCCAAATGCCAACTCAGTGATGGGCACACGTCAGCCCCCTGAGGCCATCAAACCCCAAATGCCAACTCAGTGATGGGCACACATCACCCCCTGAGGCCATCAAACCCCAAATGCCAACTCAATGATGGGCACACATCACCTTCCTGAGGCCATCAGAGCTACAATTGGATAATTTGAAGCTCCTGAAGACCCAAAACTCCGCTTTTCCAACAGCATCTCTAACACACAATTGCTGGAGACAGTCCCAGGTCACTTCTGCCATGCCTGTGCTGTCACCCAGCTGACACATTCCATCCCAGTGAAAAGTTCTGTGGCTGCACTGACCACCCAAAGGGCCAGGAGTGCCTTGGGATAAAAGCCCTGGCCCCTTCCAAATTTGCTCTTCCCCTCCAGAGACTCCAGCTGAGCAAACAGGCACAGCCAACAACCCCGGGAGGCCACGGCACACAACCCATCATTAATGATTTCATTATGCAAATGACGAGGGGAGGCTGCTGCTGTTCTCCCAGCATGGTCTCCATGACACTGCCATGAACCTCCAGACCCATCCATGTGCTGACATCTCCATGGAAAATGCAGAAAAACAAGGATTCCATAGCTCCTGACGCCAGCCCCGCGCCCTCCAGCAAGAAAATCCCATGTCCTACCTGGAAGTGGAGGATGATGGTCCAGATGAGCCCCAGGGTGAGCTTGGGGTTGCCATCTGTGATGTCATCATTGCGGATGTTCACCAGTTTCACCTGGGAAAAAAAAGGCAAACGGGGTTAAAGCTTCCCATCAGCCTCGCCCGGAGAGCAGGGGGACACGGCCCCACCACGCTGTCCCCAGGGCCACCCCTGGCACTCCAGTGAGGAACAGGCACACAGCAAGATCCCAGGGCTTCCCAAAGAGGCTGGGATGCCACCTCATCTCCTGGCTTGGGGAGGATTTTTCCATGTCTCCAGCACTCTCCATCCTGAAGTGCTTTCCCAGCACTTAATGGCTTTACTTCAGCTCACAGAGCAGAGTCCCCAGAGCCCTGAGCACTGGTGCATAATTGAACAGCTACAGAGCACAGAGAGTGGGCAAAAAGGGGATGACCAAGCTTTAACTCCAGCCTGGGCTCAAAACCCAGCTCTAATGAAGGCAGGAACACCCTCACTCCTCCCCTGGGGGAGTCTCCTCTCCCCAGCACTCCAGGGACCCCACGGATCATTCCCTGGCAGGAGTTCTGGGCTAAGATCCCAGCAAGGCCACCACACTTCAAAGGAAAAAGCTGTTTCATCCAAGTGGAGAAACAAGTTCCCCAGAGCCCTTGGCAAAATGTCTCTATCAAGAAGCTGAGGAGGAGGAGGAGGAGGAGGAGGAGGGGGGCTGGGAGCAGCTCGCCCTCCCTGGAGTAGGGAATGTGCTCAAATTTATTCCCTGCCCTCAGGCCAGCAGTGAAGGAGAAAAGTCTCTGCTTCAGCATGAACTGGTACCATTTATCATCATCATCATCATCATCATCATCACCTTGGCATATCTGGGAGCATCACGGTGGGGAGGACCTGGCCCAACAGGCAGAACAGGACACCCAGCCCCTGGGGCTGTGGGGGTTCCACCTGCAGAGCCAGCAAGTCTCGGGATGCATCCCATTGCTCTGCCCAGGGCTGTGCAGCTCCCAAAAGCCTGGTGGAGAGAGCCTGTCCTCCAGAAATGGGGGGATAATAAGTCCATGCTGATCTCCAGAGGAGTGCCAGCCCCGAGGTCAAGGCTGTGTGGGCTGGGCAGAGCCAGCTGCCACATGTCCCCAGAAATTGGTGGGAAGGCCCGGACGTGCCACAGCCACCCATCCCCACAGCCAGGGATGCCCCAGGGGAGCCTTTCTGGGGTGCAGAAGTGACATTTGCCAGCCCCTTCTCAGAGCTGGGGTCAGGTCCCTTTTCCACAGTGGGTTTTGTGTGCAGGGGTGGTTTCCAGAGGCACAACAGCCACAGGGAAAATCCCCCTGCAATCCATCCTCTCCATCAGCGCCGCAGAGACGGGCACACCCCAGCACAGGCTGCTCCTCCGCTCCTTCCAAAGCCTCAGACAAGACAAAGGATGCACAGAACCACCCAGCTCTGCTGGATGAGCTTTTATCAGCCCTCACCTGTCGCTGCTTCAGGAAATCCAGGGCAATCTGCACGTTCTGCAGGCGGTGGAAGCGCATCCGCCCCTTCTCACGCGGCTGCAAGACACAAGGCAGCACTTTTAGGTCAGGCTGCTGGTGGGGCCGGGCTGGCAGCACCCCACATGCACAGTGACCCCCCTGGGAGCTGTCAGCGTGCTGCTGTGACCCCCTGTGCCCCCCACCACGTCCTGCTCTGCCTTGTTCTGGAGGAAATGAGGTCATTGCTGTGCACGGTCCTGCTGGAAGAAGGTTAAAATGCCCTGCTGGGAGATGGAGGTGGGAAGGTGCTGAGATCCAGACCTCTGCTGAGGCCCTGAGGGGCTGTGTCCAGGCCTGGCTCAACCTCTGAGATCCCAGGGCAGGATCTTGCCCAGCTCATGGACAGCCAGACCAGCTGGGAAGAGGGTTCAGCAAAGAACTCAAACAGGAACAGAGTTCAGTTTGTCCTGGTGGAAGAAGAGGCAGGACAGGGGGACTCCTCAGGACAGGGGGACTCAGGACAGGGGGACTCAGGACAGGGGGACTCAGGACAGGGGGACTCCTCAGGACAGGGGGACTCAGGACTGCAGGTCCCCACTGATGGCAGAGGAACCCTGAGCTCAGCACCAGCCCCTGCAGCTCTTCCCACACATGGCAGGGGCTGCTGCTCCAGGTACCTCTGAACCCCTTGGGAAGGGGCACAAGGGACACCCTGGGCCTTGCCCATCTCTGCTGAAATTGAGGGATTTCCAGAAGTTTCCATCAGCTGAGCCACGGCCAGGGAAAGGGGATGGGAGGCTTCGAATCAGCAGGAGCAGGAGGAACAACACCCAAAACCAAATCCCAGCCTCAAGATGAGGAATCACCAGGATGTTCATGGAATCACAGGAGCTTTGGGTTGGAAGGGACCTTAAAGACCATCTGATTCCAGCCATGGTGGGGGGACACAGCCCACAGCCACGTTCTGAACTGCTGGGACACCCCAAGGGCTCTGAGTCACCCTCCTGTTCCAGCCTGAAGGGAAGAGCTGTCCCAGCAGGGAAGAGTTGTATTTGCAAGGGGTAAAGCTGTCCCTGCCAAGGGAAAATCTGCTCCTGCATGGGGAAAATCTGCCCCTGCCAAAGGAAAATCTGCCCCTGCCAAGGGAAAGAGCTGTCCCTGCAAGGGGAACACCTCCAGGGCTGCAGGGGACCATCAGGAAGGTGCCACAGCCCCTCCTGCAGCACTCCAGGGAGGTGACAGTGCACAAGGGCATTGTCACCCCAAGCACAAGGGCTGATGAACACCTCAGGGCACATTCTGGGCTCTGACCCTCAGCTGGGGCTGTGCTGTGCTCGCTCCCACCCCAGTCCCATGCAGGATCCCAGAAGGTGCCCGTGCCCAGAGCCTGCCCATGCAGTGCCAGGTGTGCAGCCCTCACACGGCCCCGAGCAGCGTGCAGGACCTGTCCCTGTCCCCTCCCGCCCCGTGGAGGGGACACATGCTGTCACAGCAGGTGGGTGGCGTGTCCTGCCTGCAGGCTGACCCCGCAGTGCACACACAGAGCCCAGGAGCACATCCCTGCCCCAGCAGAGCCCCCAGGGCTGGGTTTTATCCCAAACCCCGCTGGGATGGCACTGGATGATCTGGTGGCACTGCCAGGGAGCTGCTGCTGTGGCCAGGGGCAGGCTCAACCTACTTCTTCATCATCATCATCTTCCTCCTCCTCGCTGCTCGCACGGCACCAGGCTGGTGCTGTCACCAGGCGAAGGCTCCACTGAGCTGGTGGCTCTACAGGCTAAGGAGGATGGGGAGGGTGGCACACAGGGCAGGGACACAGAATGGAAACCAAAATGTGACACCCAGGCACGAGAAAAAAAAACGAAAAGAAAAAAGACAGCAACAGGAGAAACTCCCAGAAACAAAAAATAAAAGATGGCAACAGCACAGGGTGAGGGTGGCTGAGTCTCCAGCACGCCCTGGGTTCCAACGCTGGAATTTCCTCCTGATTTTGGAAGCTGAGGAGCTGGAAGCTGTCTGGATCACAAGTGGAGTGATCCAAGTTTGCAGCCCCCGCAAAATCGGATTTGGCGTCTCCGGAGGGTGCGGAGGGAGGTAGGAGATCTTTGCCCAGATCCTATTTTTGGGGGAAACTAAAATAATTCCTGCTGTGCTACGGCAATGGGGATCTTCCCAGAGCTGAGGGAATGTGTCAGTCAGAGAGGGAAGAGGAGGAGGAGGAGGAGGAAGGAGGAAGGAGGGGGAACTCTACGATGCTCCAGGCACCAGTGACTGCTACAAACCCAGGAGCTGAGCACGAGGCAGGAGCATCACATCTGAGATAAACTGCTGGGCACGCTGCCACAGAAGCAGTTTTTTGGTTAAAGTCTGCTGTTTTCCATGATTTTAAATACGGAGCCGCATCTGGAAGGTGAAGGTGTGTAAAACTTGGCAAGAAGAGGGCTTTGCCCAAGGCACCATAATCAGATGAGAAACCAGCCTGGGGAACAGGGGGTTTGAGTAAAAATAAATAAATAAAAAATGCAGTGAAAAATATAATAGTAAATAATAAAATTCCTGATAATAAAAGAAGCAATGACAGACATTTGAAACTGAAACCATGGGGTAAGAAAAGACAGCTGATGGCTGGGGGAGAAGAGGAGCAGGGAGAGGATGGAGGGGGTTTAGGGGCACTCCAGAATCCCAGCCCAGCCCTGGGGACTCACCAGCTTCACTCCTGACAGCACTTCCAGGAGGGAGATGAGGTTGTGACCATCTCTCAGGTCTTCATAGAGGTCATTGATGTGCTTGCGCACCTGGGGAGGGGAAAAGCCATCGGTGATGCCAAAATCATCAGCAGGGAAAGGAAAATCATGACCAGGAAAAGCAAAATCATCACCAGGAAAAGCAAAATCATCACCAGGAAAAGCAAAATCATCACCAGGAAAAGCAAAATCTTCAGCAGGGAAAGCAAAATTATGACCAGGAAAAGCAAAATCATCACCAGGAAAAGCAGCCTCCCCCTTCCCAAAGGGCCTGGCAGAAGCTGCTGCCAATTTCACACACAACATCCAACTGTGACACCATCTGTGCCCCAGGTAACCCCATGATTTTAACTTCTGAATTTAACTTCTCACATTGCTCACACTCCTCCCAAAACGCAGCTCCCACCTGGCAGCAGAGCAGCTTTCCATGGGCACCAGGTGCAGCCTCTCTTCCCCAACACCCAGGGCTTGTCCTGGGGTTTTACCCACTTGGGAATCCCTGGATGTTCTCCCCCAGCAGCCTCAAGATTTTTCTCTGTTTTCCCCTCCTCTGCAAGGTTTAGGAAGCAGCCAAAAGCTTGGCACAGAGCTTTGCAAAGCTGGCAGGAAAACACAGCTGGGACACCTAGTGCTCAAACCATTTTTTTTCCCTCCTTTTTATTTTTTTTAATTTTTTTTTTTGGCAAACGGAGAATTAATTCAAACCCACCCAGCATTAACCAAGAAAGCAGGAGGCACCTCGTGGTGCCACGTTAATCCTGCTTAACAAACTTTGGATCTTGTCTCCCTCCTGGAGCATCCTTCAAAGGACAAAAATGACCCCTTTTTCCTGGCTAGGGGATGAGAGGGGGATTCAGGATCCCCTCCTTTCCCCCCAGGATGCACAAACCTCATGTTAAGCAAGGAACAGGTGCCCAGGAGGGAAAGGCAAGAAAAGGGATCTGTGGTGATGCTACAGTGCCCTCCAAAGGCTCCAGCACATTTCCAGCACATCCTGCTCACATGAACACTCAAAACAAACAGTCCTGGCATTAAAGAAAACTTTAAAACCCTTAGAAAAGGCATTTATCTGCCAGTCCTGAGCTGCAACAGGCACAGGGATGGTCATTTCAGTGGCTTTATAACAAAATCCGTGACTCTTACCTTCATCAAGTGTTTATTGACCCATTTAGTGAAGGTTTTCTTTTGGACTCTGTCCCGTTCATCTGTCAAAAGGAGACAAAGGCAGCTCTTGGTCAGTGGTTCTCATGCAGAAACTCAAAGGGCTTTGAAATGAGGGGAAGAGACAGAGGGATGGGCAGCGGTGCCAGCCCAGGGCACAGGGAACAGAGGCAGAACAGAGGCAGCTTTTTCAGGGAATGCTGCGGGATGGGGCCGTTCACGAGGCTCCAGCACGGCCCCGGGGCAGGGAAATGCCAGGCACAACCAAATACACCTTTTCTTTTTTTTCTTTTTCCCTGCTGAGAATAAGGATACTCAAGGAGAGCAGCGTGGATGAGTGGGATAGGTACAACCAGAATTCACCCCCTGTGCGCCTCCTCACCTCCCCCAGGGGCAGCACAGGGGGGTTTGCCCAATTTTAGGAGGTGTCCCCCCCTCTCCTGCCCACTCCTGGAAGGCTTTAGGGTGTTACATAAAACCCCAGATGTCCCGTAACGGGTCCTGGCCGGGTGTGCAATTAGCAGCTTATTCTGCCCCTGTATTTTTGGTTCATTGGATTGCCAGGATTTAATGTTTATTTCTGTCCCACAGCTCAGCCCTGGCCGGACACTGGGAGCTCTGAGTGCTGCCAGGACAGGGTGACAATGTGGGTGCCATCCCCAGGGGTGGCAGGGGGACGGGATGGGACATTTGTGGTGACACCAAGCAGCGATGGGGGAGCTCCGGGCAGGCTTTTTGCTCCATGAAAAAAATAATACCAGGGGAAAAGCACAGGCAAACAGGCGAAAGGAGATGGTCCCACAGGGCAGGGGGGTCCCACTCAGCTCCCCAGGTAGTGAGGGGGGCTCAGGGCAGCCCTGTGTCCAGCAGGACTCAACAATGACACCTTGGAGCACAGAGAGATCCCCAGCACCAACCCATGGCACACAACCCCGAGCACTGCATCTCCAGCCCGGAGCACCCCATGGATATTTCAGGAAAGGATGAGCCTTGCTCACCCAAAACACATCTCTGACATCAGGGTCTACCAGGCAGCAGCACCCCTTGCTTTGTTTTTAAGTCAAAAATCGAGAAAAAGGAAAAAAAAAAAACCAGCATTTCCCAGGCCAAGCTCCCTAGGACAGCCCCAGAACCCCCTCCTGGGATTGGGGGGGGTCACTGGGGGTCCCTGCACAGCCCCAGGGACCCTGGGCAAAACCTGCCCATGCCTCCATCCACGCAGACTGGAAAGCACCACCCAACGGCTCTTCCTCTTCCTCACACACCCTGCGGCTTCCCCCTCTGAGAGCACGGCACACACGTGGCACAGGGTGACACGAGCGTCCCCTCCCTGCGTCCCACTCCGTCCCCAGGCCACGGCACAGGGACCAGGAGCCAAAAACCACCCGTGGGCTAAGCCACATCCACCCTCAGCTCCCATCCTGCCAGGCTCCAGCCGTAGGAAGCTGTGTCACCCCCATTTTTGGTTTTAGGGATTTTCCTGCACCAGACCCCTCCAGATCCACGGTGTCACGTCCCTTCCCAACTCTGGGAAAGCTGTGTCACCCCCACTTCTGTTTTTAGGGATTTTCCTGCACCAGACCCCTCCAGATCCACAGTATCGCATCCCTTCCCAACTCCAGTGCCCGCCAGGGATGGATGGAGGGCAGGGGAAGCTGTGTCACCCCCGTTTTTGTTTTTAGGGATTTTCCTGCACCAGACCCCTCCAGATCCACGGTGTCACGTCCCTTCCCAACTCTGGGGAAGCTGTGTCACCCCCACTTTTTTTTTTAGGGATTTTCCTGCACCAGACCCCTCCAGATCCGCGGTATCGCGTCCCTTCCCAACTCCAGTGCCCGCCGGGGATGGACGGAGCCCGTGAGCCCGGGCAGGCAGCGGGTACTGACCGATGCAGCACATCCGGCACACCAGGCAGGCGCTGAGCCGCCTCTTCTCCCCGGCCAGGAGCCGCCTCTCCATGGTCCCGGCCCGGGACGGCGAGCGCTGCTCCCGGCAAAGCCGCAGCACCTGGGGAAGGGTCCTCAGCCGGCACCTCCCGCTGGCCGAGCTCGACCCCGGCGGGTGCGGACGGATGAGTTCAGGGCCACAGCTCCTCCCACCGAGCCACTTCCTACCCTCGGTGCCCTCGGCAAAACGGGCAGAGGCCGTTCCTCCTCCTCCTCCTCCGCGCCATCGCCGCCGACCTCGCACCGCTCCCGGCTCCTCCGGCTGCTCCCGGCTCTGCAGAACCCTCCCGAAGCCGGCAGAGCAGCTCGGAGCGCTCCCAGCAGCGAAGGACAGAGCTGCTGCTCCCTCCGGTTCGTGGGGATGAAAGCGATGCCGAGCGCGGTGCGGCTCCCGCAGCCCAAAGCGCGGCGGGACCGGGATGCGGGACCGGGATGCGGGGCCGGGATGCGGGGCCGGGATGCGGGGCCGGGATGCGGGCACGGGCTGGTCCCGCAGAGCCGGGCACTGCCCGCTGGCCCCCGCTCTTGGCTTGTTTTTCCTCCTCTTGTTTTCCAGTTAATTGCACCAGGGACGGGAGGGACAATGCCGGGCTGTTCTCTCCCGCCAGCCCGAGGCTTCTGCCCAAATCATGTCCCGGTGCTGGAGCTCGGCACGCGGGGAGATAACGGGGGCCGCCTTATCACCGCCTCCCTTCCTCTTCTTCTAAATATAATCCCCCCGCAGCCCTTCTGCCGGCTGCTGCCCCGGCCTGGAGGGCGAGAGGAGCCGCGCTGCTGCCCCCGAGCATCGCAGGGAGACAGAGAATGGATGGATGTCACCATGGATGTCACCATGGATGTCACCATGGATGTCGCCGGGTCCCACACGGACAGTCGGCACTCCAGCGCTGCATCCCACAAGTGCCCACAGCCCCAAGGCTGCTCCACGAGATCCCTCTTCCCATGTCCTGCAGAAATGGGGGTTTTTCTCCGGTTTTTTTGCCCTGATTCACCTCCTCCGGGTGGTTCCCGGGCTCTAACCAGATTAAACCTCCCCAGCCCCGGGGCCCGTGCTATCAGCTGAGCTAATAATAATGCTGGTTACTGCTTACTAACAATATTAAGGCATTGCAAGCTTATCTCTGCCCAGCTAATCTTTTCCAGAGTCACCCTGACAAATAACTTGTTGCAATCCCCCCCATGCTCCTTCTCTCCCTGGTCTAGCAGAGGTTTGCTGGCCCCAGCCACCAAAAACCCACCCTGTCACCATCCAGGGACAGTCAGCAGGCAGGTAGGGCAGGGAGAGAGGGAAGATTACAGGGAAAAGGAAAGGAAAATCTGTCCCACTCCAAAGACAAGGTAGTGGCAGGAAAAGGGACTGCAGAGCCTCAGGTCCCTCACGCACAGGGCTGGTGGCAGTGACACAGGGAGCACCAGCAGCCAACAGAGACCATGAACAGGATCACACGTGGTTTAATTCCCTCCCCACCTCTTCTCCTAACACTGCTCACCAGAGCTCAGCTCACTGCATCCCCAAAAATGGGGATCCCAAAGGAACAGGGCCCCTGTGGCACAAATCCCCGCAGAGGCTCAAGGGGCACTGGCGGCTGCTCAAGGGGAAGGTGAGGCCTGGGGGTTTTGTTCTGCTACTGAACTCAGTGAAAGGAAACAGGGAGAACCATCCTGCCCCAGAGCTGCTGAGGCATCAGCTGAGCACAGACAGAAAAACTCCCACTCCCCATCCCTCTGGACCTCAGCATGCCCAGGCACTTTCCATCGTCACAGGGATGGCTCCCACAGGCGCTGGCTGCCAGAGAACCCCTCCAGCACCACCACAAGGCCCTGCACAGACAATTCCCATCCCATCTGCCTGCAGCAACCTCTGTCCTGGCAGCTCCTGCCTGTCCCCAGCAGCTCCCAACACGTCTGGCCAGGAGCTGCTGCTCCCCCCCCAGATCTCTCCTCCATCATCACCGGCCCTGCTCGCTGTCCCACTCCATCCCTGTGTGTCTCCTCCTGCCTCAGGCTGCTGCCAGAGTCCAGCCCCAGCCCCAGGAACCAGCAGGATAAAAGGTTCCTGGCCAGGCACCATCCCTAATCCCAACCCTGCCTTGGCGCCCTCCATCCCACCAACACCCAGTGCTCCCTGGCAGGGCCTTTTACCATCCTTGGGAGGGAACCAGGGGGTTTTGTGCTGCTGGAATAAAGTTGGGAAGTGATTCCCAAAGTTCCTCCTGCTGTTAAATCCAAAGGAACACAGGAGACATCAGACAGGGCACTGATCTCACAGAGATCTCGAGGATATCTCCAAGCCCACGCCCAGTGTGAATGTGGGATTAAATAAGAGACAACCATGGCCTAAAGGAGGGGTTGGTTACTTTAAAAAGCCAAAACTCCAAATTTTTAAGCACTGAAAGCCAGAGTTTTCCCTTCAAAACAAGCAAAGAATGAGATTGTGCAGGGGGCTTTTTGAACCTGGCACTTCTGAGAGGGGGGATATGCAAAAAAATCTGGCTGGCTGAGGAGCACAAGGTATTTAAAACATGCTGGCTGCCAACTTGAGAGCTGACATAATCCATCATGACAACAGAGCCAACAGGGCAGGATTTACAGAGCCTTTCACCCAGGGAGAGGAAACGGAGCCTGATTCAGCCTGGAAGAATGCACAAGAGATACCTGTGGTGGAAAAGTATCCAACACCCAGATATTTAATGAGGGAGACACCTGAGATGTGGTGATGCAAAGGAGAGCAGGGCAGATGCTCAGCAGAGCTGTCTGAGCGTCACAGAGCAAAAAAAACCTGCTGCAAAATGATTCTGCTCTCCCAGGATTGGGCTTTACCTTCACTTTTCTGGGAAAAAAGTAGTGAAAAAAACCAGGTTTTGAATATCCTTGCTGCTTGCAACACTGACTCCAGGATTTTTTCAAAAAGGGGTGGAAACATCCCTCCAAGTAGGATGAAGCAGCAGATCAGCATGAGGAAGAAATAGTCCAGTTGGGAAGAATCTAAGAGGTCCCCAAATGGAGCCAAGAACATCCCTGGACAACACCACCCAGCCATGGAGATAAATTAAGGGGGAGGAATTGCAGCAAGGCTGCGTTTAGTGGGTGACAGGGTG